GGAGGCAAGGCCATGGTCGGACGGAGGGAGGCAAGGCCATGGTCGGACGGAGGGAGGCAAGGCCATGGTCGGACGGAGGGAGGCAAGGCCATGGTTAGGATAATGAGCACCCCTTCCAGTACCTTTCTTCCCTATCCTAAACTAATAATCATAATAATGTACTTAATTAACACACTTCATATGCCAGTGCTGTGCTTGGAGCTTACGTCTTAATTTCATTCTCACAACTAGCCTGGGAAGTGATTACCATTATAATCTGCATGTTAATAATGATGAAAGGATGAAGCAGAAAGCTTCAGCCAACACGCCCATTATCACACAGCTGGTCATGTGGAGGCACGATTGATTTAACTACTGGACCGTATTTTTAAAACTTCACAAACTGAGGTGATGGCACACATAAAGTATGACGCGGCTTGAAAGGCATCAAAGGGGGGTGAAGGGAACAGAAGTGTTCTTACCTACTTTATATTATAGAACAATAAGAAAAAACAGAATAATAAGAAATATATCACATTCAGCATTGTAAAAAGTTTCCAAATAAAATGTTTTTAAATTTTGAATAGGCATCTTGTACTTGCTTCCAATATAGCCTTTGGGTATTAGATTTTATGCTTGAAATGGCAACATGCAATCCCTGATTAATATTTTAAATGATGATCTCTTCAAATTCTTAATAGTCACCATTGACAAGAGACGTCACTTGCACATGTGGACGGTGGGAAGTAGGAGCACAATGGTCACTGTTTTTTCTTTGACTGATGAATGAACATTCTTTTCTTGCCGTTAGACATAATTCAAATAATTCAGTCTCTAAAGTGTCCTTCAAAGGTGTAAAAATAATTTCAATCAGACAGCTATTACTTTTCATTTCATCCATAAATGTAACATTCATACTCCTTGTGATGATTTCAATGGATTTGAAAGGATTTCAAATCTAATTCAACTTTTTTGTGTTCTATATTTAAAAATAATGATAAAGCTTTTTCCTAAGAATGCACGGATATTGCTCTACTGGTCTTAATAATTATACTTAAAATTGGGCCGTGCCTGTTGCTCAGTGAGTAGAGCGCCAGCCCCATATACTGAGGGTGATGGGTTCGAACCCGGCCCCAGCCAAACTACAATAAAAAAATAGCTGGGCGTTGTGGTGGGTGCCTGTAGTCCCAACTACTTGGAAGGCTGAGGCAAGAGAATTGCTTAAGCCCAAAAGCTGGAGGTTACCGTGAGCTGTGAAGCCACAGCACTCTACCGAGGGCAACAAAGTAAGACTCTATCTCTAAAAAAAAGAAAAAGAAAAAAATTATACTTAAAATTTCTAGTGAATCATTTCAACCTCCTTTTTAAGGTTGAAGTTTTCCTTTTAAATTGACTTTGTCAGTATGTTATATATTTTACATAATCCTTGCAATTTTTAATTAAGTACATTCAGGAAGGTTCTCAGCAAGAATTATTTAAACCAGTAATTATTCCTTAAAGTTTTCTCAAAGTGAGTATAATGCACAATTTATTTCTCTATCAACTCCTTAGGTGACAGGCTTTTCATGAGACTCTCCTTGGACAGTTAACCTTCCTTAGTGTGAAACAGCAGAGGGAGGTCTCCTTACTCATCTTGTTCCCAAGCTAAAAAGAAAGGGGCGAGGTGGGTTTAGATGTTATTAGTCACTGTTTTTAATAACAACATTTTGTACAGAATTTAGATCCACAAACAAATCTTTACATGACAGAGCTTTTCTGTAAATAAATATTACTAGAATCTCAAAATTTTCAGAAAGAACTTGGTGAAAAGTATTTGTACCTTCTTTTCATTGTAGCTGCACGATCAGTACATGAAATTGGGCAGTTTTCAAAATATGGTGGGGTTAGGGTTTTTTTGTTTTTTTTTTCTTTTGTTTTTGTTTTTTTGAGACGAAGTCTCATTTTGTCACCCTGGGTAGAGAGCCATGTCATCATCACAGCTCACAGTAACCTCAGTCCCTTTGGGCTCCAGACATCCTCTTAACCTAAGACTCCTGGAGTAACTGGGACTACAGGTGTCTGCCATGATGCCCTGTTAGACAAGATCTTAACCTAAGACTCCCGGAGTAACTGGGACTACAGGTGTCTGCCATGATGCCCTGTTAGACAAGATCTGTTTTGACACATTCACCTGCTTTTTTGAATGTTTTACCTCCAACAGTCAGATCTGGTTCTTCCGTGTAAGATAAACTGTGTTATTTGGAAAGAAGAACCAAACCACGTTGTTGGGGATAAAACATTCAAAGTATTTCTCTCCAGAATGTCTAACTGGTGCTATTAAACACCCAGTAGTAAAGTCTGATACATCCAGTAAGGAAAACCCTGAGAGATTGGGAACAGAGGTGAGGAAATGCTAAAATAAATCTTTAATAAGCTAGAGGATGGAGACTGAATATTCAAGAGCCTATTCAAGATGGGAAAAGAATCTTCAAGGACACTGGAGAGTCAGACGGGGAGGAACCAGGAAGAAGCCAGTCAGCATCCAAACAGGACACGGGAGTGAGGAAAACCTAGAGCTAACAGGAGGTCAGACAGAGGAGAAGATGAGATTTCAGTGTCCTGGAAGAAAATTGCTATTTGGGTGAAGCTAAAAGTTTAACCTCGTTTTGAATAACTAACCTAGAGGGTCACCTTGCCCCATCCTTCATCTTAAGCGATGTAGCTGTCCAAGAGAAGAAGGGGGCTCCCGACGCAGGCTGAAGCCCTTCCTTCCATCAGGACAGGAGTTCTGGGGAGTGAGAAGAAATTCGGGGGGGAAGGGAGACTGGGTGACAGGGGACTCTGATGGAGCCTACTGCTGCCTTAGACCCAGATGGCTTAGGTGTGGCTTTAGCCAGTCCACTTCCTCCCCTCCCCCTATGCGTTCTTCAAATGCTCCCAGCCACCTTCTCCCCACTACCCAGTCCTCTGGGCTGTCAGGTTACAGGGTATCTTTTATGAGGCCGAGGCAGTCGCGTGTGTCTCAGCAGGTCCGAGTGATCTTACACGTTCGGCTCCTTTCTCCTCCCAGCTTTTGTTGCACTCACCTCTGTTACAGCAACTACTGCACCACATTGTGCTTGGTTAAGGGTCCATAGCTCTTGCCAGGCCGAGACCCTTTTAAGATCAGTGTCTTTTTCTTACTCATCTTGGTGTCCCCTGAGCCAGCATTATTCGACAATGAAAGAGGGCTTTTTAAATAAAATCTTGGAAAATTCTGTGTGAGCCCAGAATTCTAGCAAAAACTTCTCCTTCTGATTGTTAAGGGACATGCAATTCCATACAATGGAAAGAAGTTAGTCTTATTAAAAGTGAACCATAGGCTCACTGATTCTCCGAATGATAACATTGTTCAGACCAACTACCATCACCACAATCACCACCACCCTCCCATGCAAGGCTTGAAAATGAGTAACGTTACTGGGTAACTGCCTGGGTGTGCCAAGGCACGGCATTGCTGCACTCATGGGGACTCATGCCCACCGTGATCAATTTGGACTCAGGTTGGGGACCAGGGTCAAATATAGACTTGATTAAATTTAAATAATTCTCTCAAGGCATAAGAATTTTTAAAAAAGCTTTAAAAAATGAAAAGAAAACTTAAGATTCACCAACAAGCATGCTCCTACTGAGGAGTTTAAATGCTGCTGTGATGTTGTCCGATTAAGGTCACTTTACACAGTCGGGTAGATTTCCTTCTCCTCTCGGGAAGCTGCACTCTCTAGAGGGCGTGATTACCACTAGCAGCGCGTTTGCGTAAAGAGCTGTTTCTTCTGCTTTGGAGTTTTTCACATCTTTTTCTCTCCTTCATCATTTCTCGGTTTCCCGTTTTCTGTTTCCATTTGTGAACTTCATGAAAGGACGGGGAAGAGGTGTTATCCTGGGCGATTCAATGCCAGTCAGCTCAGACTTTTCAGGGGGAAACCATGGGCTTAAGTAGTACCAGATAATTACCTACTTAAATACCTGCTGAAGAACTATACGATCAGGATTAATTGGCTTTCCACTCTCTCCACATCATTAATTCACTTATTTATTTTTGAGACGGAGTCTTACTCTGCCACCTTGGGTAAAGCACTGTGGCTTCATAACTCACAGCAACCTCAAACTCTTGGGCTTAACCAATCTGCTTGGTTCAGCCCCCCAAGTAGCTGGGACTAAAGGCGCCTACCACCATACCCAGCTAGTTTTTCTATTTTCAGTAGAGTCAGGGGCCTTGCTCTTGCTCGGTCTGGTCTCAAACTCCTGAGCTCATGCAATCCACCTGCGTTGGCCTCCCAGAGTGCTAGGATTACAGGCACAAGCCACTGCGCCTGGCATTCTCTCCATCATTTAAAAAAGAGAAGATTGTGCATCTTGAAAATGTCTCTCCCTTTCGTCTCTTTCCTCTTAGATTACAAGGCTTTTGAAGAGGCATCTGAACACTTCCAGCCTTACATCAAATTTTTTGCCACCTTTGACAAAGGGGTAAGTACCTGTGAGACTCCAATTCGAACAGTTTTATAGGCAGGAAGGGTTAAAATGTGACCTTCTCGCTGCTTTGTCTTTCCTTTTAGCAACATTAACCGTGTTGCTTTGCCTTTTTCCCCTGACGTGTTAGGGATGTGGCAGTAAATCATTATTGAATGAGAGAAGAGCACAAAAATCAGAGGACATAAGGATGTTTCTGAAAACATCTAATAAGAAGGGATGGCCCACCCTTACCTTGTCACAGCCTGAGAATGGAAACTGTGCGCGCCCAGAGTGTGCCTGGGCCCCGAGCCCTTGCTTCCTTGGTTCCCTCCCTTCCTGGGGCTGCACGCCTTCCCCTCTGCTGGGCTAGCGTGGGTGATGGAAGGGAAGGGGCATTGACCATCTGAAGCCCTGGTGCTTTAGAAAGTTACCTCCATCTTCTAGACATAGGGTAGATATACATTTCTACAGTCCAAATGCTCTTTAGTTTAAAAACAAAGAAAGTGATTTCATAAGCCAAAGAACAGCAGAGAGAGAGAGACCTTGAATCATGGGTTATTTATTTGGGTTCTGCTATAGTCAGAGTATTGCACCCTAGATCCCTTGACTACTAAAGTGGCTAGTATTTGTTGATCGAATGCTTTTTGTGTGTTGGAAACAATTTGATGTATTGCATCTATTTTATCGATAATCCTTTAAACACCTTTGAAAGGTAAAAACTCTTCCTTAGAGAACTTCTTCTCCCAGAAAAGAAAAGAGATTTAGAAAGGTTAGGTGATAGCCATGGTGTCCAGCAAGTGAGTAGTAGCACTGGGATCCCGGTTTAGGGCAACCTTTGCCCCAAACCTGCTTTCTTTTCTGTACGTCACAAAGACTGTCCACCTGCCCTTGGGTTGCCGGGCACACCTGCCCCACCTTCACACATGTGTAACACACGTATATGACACACACATCATCCTACCTCCCCACCCCCTCCCAACACACACACATCCCAACTGAGAGCCCTGAACCGCCTGTACTCACTGAACAAATAGATCTAGGACAAACTAAGTTCTTGGTCAAATTCAAGTCTAAATTAACGGGAGGAGCAGGACAGCTGATGGGCAGTGCTCATGGGCCTTTACTTTACCAAGTTCACATATTCCATGAAAAACAGGAGGAAGCCCGTGGGGGCTGGAGCCGGGAAGGGCAGGAGGAAAGAGGTCACTTTCAGTTCATGTGTGTAATGAACCGTTTCTATGTACAGGGTCCTGTCTTTGAGTTTATAACCCAGGAGAGAGGTCTACAATCTAAGTCATATAATTTAAACCTGAAAAAAGTTTACCCTCGTTGGTCGGATTAGAGTTGGGAGAGATCTTGAGCAAGAATATTTAAAAAGAATAATAACTACCATTTATTAAGTACTTATTCGGTGGCAGAGTCTGTGATGAGGGCTTTATGGGGGGGGTTCTCTCCTTTCATCTCAATACCCCTGTCACAGGGGATCGGTATTCTAATTCTACAAAGGATGCGGCTGAGTAGGTGAGTGGCCCACAGTCACATATCAACAAATCATGAAGCTTGCTATGATCTCAGGCCGGCCTGACCTCAGAGTCGATGCTTTGTGCTACTATACTCGAGAGGAAAGAGCAGTGTACGTGAAATGCTCAGCTGGGGTCTGGCGCACAGCACGCGTTCCATCAACACCAGCCCAGCCGTGATACTGTTATGAACTAGAAGACAGTCGTCAAGGCCCAGAAGGACAGGAGGTTGGTTCAGGACACGAGCAGAGAAGGGAGGCAGCAAGAAGCCTGAACTGCATCCATTAGGCCTAGTCCCGAGGGGCCAGGATCAGCACAGGGGGCCCTGGGTGAGAACCCTCTGAAGGAAGACAGGCGGGCAGACAAGCCTGGCCAAGTGACAAAGTCTTCATTTCTTAGAGGGTGGTTCCCCTCTGTGTTCAGAGTTGTCTCTGTTTTCAGAAGTGCCTCCCTGGCCAACTGTGTGGCTTCATATCTGTGCCCCATGAAGAAGGTGAGGATAGGCCATAATTAAAAACTCAGAAAGCTGCTTTACTAAAAGCTCTGTAAGACCCTGAGTCATAGGAGCCACTGTGCCTGAAGCCTTGTGGAGTTGCGTAACATTTAAAAAAAAGAAAGAAGCATGGGAAGAGTGGTGGCACTGAGAGGACGCTGAGGCCATTTGGGACTTTAGAACTTGTACCCACAGCCAGGCACAGTGGCTCACACCTGGAATCCTAACACTCTAGGAGGCCAAGGTTGGAGGATTACCTGAGCTCAGGAGTTGGAGATCAGCCTGAGCAAGACTGAGATCTCCTGCCCCCCACGTCTCCACGAAAAATAGAAAAAGTAGCCGATATCTTGCAGGTGCCTGTAGTCCCAGATACTCAGGAGGCTGAGGCAAGAGGATCTCTTGAGCCCAAAGAGACTGAGGTTGCTGTGAGCTATGATGATGCCACCCAGGATGACAGAGTGAGACTGTCTCAAAAACAAAACAAAACACTTTGTACCCATGAGCTAGGGTGGGGGTGGGGAGCCAGAAGGCATGGCTGTACCCAGTGCTGTCCAGCAGGAGGTGCTAGAGCAGAAAAGGGGGAAAAGTATAAATGTCATGACGTCTGTACAACACACCCCTGGGGATCTCAGAGGGACCTGGAGGTATTTTATACAGGTTTGAAGTCAGGAGAGGAAAGGAACCAGAAAGCAGTCATACAATCACAGAGATGAAAAATCTAACTGGGAGAAATTGATGTAACAAGATCACTGATGAGATGAATGAGTGGAAGAAGATAAAACCCCCAAGTAATGTAAGATAGCAAGTTTTGACTTCAAGACAGCAAAACTTGGGAAGCTACTTAAAACACTGCAAGTCTAGGAAGAAGAATCTAGAAAGGAATATAAGATGGGGTTAGGAGTCCTATTTCCTACTAGTTGGGAAAACATTCACCTTGCGGTATCTGTCAGTAATTCATTCATTGACTCAACAAGTATTTATTGAGTGTCGTTTATGTGTCAGGAACTCTTTTCAGTGCCAGGAGCATGACATTGAGGAAAAGTTTCCTCCTCTTGTAGAATTTAGAGCGGAGAAGAAAAGATGAAAAGACAGAAAGTAGATAGATGAACAAACCGATAAATATTATTAAATGAACTGGAGAACCATAAAGAGGGTGAGATGTCAAGGCTGCTGATGTAGATTTTGGAATCAGTAGTTCCCAGCCGCTGTCAGCGCTGGTATTCCCCATGGAGCTTTTAAAACCATTAATCTGTTGGCCCCCCTCCTGGAAACTTAAGACATTTTAGGGCTGCAGTAGGGCCGAGGAGTCTGCATCTTCTAAAAGTGTCCTAGGGAATTTTACAGGGTGCTCAGGTTTGAAACCCATGCTGATCTGCTGATCCTGATCCTGAATCAAGTCACACAGAGGCGCAACCTCTCTGAGGAAGCAGTTGGAGGAAGAAAGGGGTCAAAGGGCCGAGCTGGTGTCCACGCTTCTGTAGCTTACAGCCTGGAAAGTGTCGGCTCTTACTGTCTCACGTCTCCTCCCGATGTCTGTTCCCCTCTCTCAGTGAACTGTGAGATGAATAACTACTTTCCCTTTTGAATCACCTTAGGGCCAAAGGGAGCTCTGACTGTCTCAACAAAGATAACAGAGAAGATAGATACGGAGGAGGCCTAAATTCATTCTGAGTTGATTTCATTGACAATGACTGAAATGTGTTACTAAGATGCAGAAAAATTATCTGTATCAAAATTTATATGCATGCAAATGTCAGGAAAATGGCACTGCGCTTTGTAGTTTTCTTGTCTTTATCAAAATCTATCCCAACAAGTTAAAAAAAGAAAAGCCTGAAAGAACTCATGTGTATGGCCCTATTCAGCTCTTTTTTTTTTTTTTTTTTGAGACAGAGCCTCAAGCTGTTCCCCTGGGTAGAGTGCTGTGGCATCACAGCTCACAGCAACCTCTAACTCTTGGGCTCAAGTGAGTCTCCTGCCTCAGCCTCCCAAGTAGCTGGGACCACAGGCGCCCACCACAATGCCTGGCTAGTTTTTGGTTGGAGCCATCATTGTCGTTTGGTGGGCCTGGGCTGGATTCGAACCCGCCACCTTAGGTGTATGTGGCTGGCGCCTTAGCCACTTGAGCCACAGGCGCCGAGCCTTTAGCTTTTAATAGTACAATCTTCTCTTACATAATTGTAATGCCCATGAACCAGGCCTGCTCCTGGAACACGACCTTGGATAGGGGGGCTCCATACATATTTCACTGAATAAATGAATGAATAAGTGCTTCCATCAGTCCACTCTCCTTCCGCCCTTAGTATCCAGTACCACATTATAAGAATAAAAGAAAGGGGTCCTCTGAGATATAAGAAGGGGGCACTTTATGATGGTGATGGGGAGATAGTGAAGAGACTCCTGGAAAATTCTACTCAGGGTTTCCAAGACCTAAACTTAAGGCCTACAAAAATCCAGTTTTATATTAATAGCTGTAACATTGTGGACACAGATTTGCATTCCGGAACCAGAGATCCCACCGCCACATGCGTACATGTTCACACACACGCTCACATGCCAGGCGCACCACACTGCTCACCTCGGCAGTGGTTCTGAGAAGCTCCTTCAGCAGGTGTGACGGAGAACCACCTGACGAGAACACGTTACGAGGAACAAGGAAAACACGCGCAGCACCAATGCGATATTTACAGGCACATGTAATTTATTCCTTCATTTACACGGTCAAGGAGAAGGTAATTTCCAAATGAAAAGGAGGTTGGCGTGCAGGTGAGTTGGAGGGTTAGAATGTTCCATGGCCTGGGTTTGAATTCCGCCTCTACCCCCTCCAGGTGTGTGATTGTGAAAACTTCTTTCTCCAAATTGTGCCTCAGGCTCCTCATTTGTAAAATAAATGTAATAATATTCTTACCTCAGGAAATCAAAGTGAGGGTTAAATAAATTAGTAAACCTAAAACACTTGGAAACAGTGCCTGGCACATACTAAACCCTGGTTTGTGTGCTATTATGACTGTTTTCATTCGTTTGACCAATTCACAGCACAGCTTTCTTTCTAGTTTCTAGAATATGTAGTAAGTGAACTCAAAAACTCAGACCCCAATGTCAAGTTCAAGCCCATTCCACCAGGGGCCCAGCCTTGCACAGAACTGTGTGTAAACTCAAATGCTGGTTGTCTGTTTGCTGCCCTTCCCTGGCTCCCTGCCTCATCACCTCCTCATCCGCCCCACCCGGAACCCCAGAGAAGAGGGGGAAAGCAAGGAAAAAACTCCACATCTCCCTCTCAAATTCTAAATGACAATAAAATCTCCTTTGACTGACCATAGCTCTTAACACGGCCTATTTTCTTTATCTCTGAGTAGGATGGTAGCATTTCCTTCCCTTAAGTGCTATAAGAACTGTCTTTTGGAATATAATGACCTGGAATTAATAGCAATTGATGACCCAAGCCGGATGAACGTCAGGGTCTCCTCAGAACGCACCCCCTTGTAGACGAGTTTATGTAACATGCAGTTCCTCCCCCCGCACTGAGTCACGCTGCCCTGGGTCGCAGCACCATGGGTTACCACCACAGAGCGTCGGCTCTTAGGCAATTCCTCTTCAGTTTCAAGGGAGCCACTGTTCGTCCCTGGGCTTTCTTGGATCACAGCACTGAACTGAGAAGAATGGCATTTGGTTTTCTATAGAGCATTGCACATTCCAGGCCTCTCAAAGCATTTCACAAAGAGAGGCCCTGAGTTCAGCAGCCGTGCCGGCCAACACAGCAACCGCTCTGCATTGCCGACACACTGACTGTGTGGCCCCCTGAATCGAGAGAGAAAACATTTTCCAGGCTGCGGGCTGGTGCCGTGAGATTTTTATCTGTCATCAGGTGATCAAGTCTTTCTGTTTTTCTGGGGTCTATCCAGGTTTAGCCGTGAAAGTCCTGTATCCTGGGAACTGCACCGCCCTAAACAAAGCAGGATGGTTGGTCACTTTGTGACTGCCTCCCACAGCCTGGAAAACCATCAAGCAAGCCTGATGCTGACAGATTTCACCATAGGACAGTGCCCCAATCCAAATAGCAATTACAGTTTGTGAGTTTGCGAGCTGATCAAGGACAGATTAATGGGTTGGCTTCTGATTCTGAGTACCTGCACATTGTAGGAATTTCCACTAATTGCCTGTCCTATTGAAATTGGTTCAGTGGAATCCACACAGCTCGGGACAGTAAGCAAGCTCCCTTGGCCTCCACTTCCCCGTCCCTCCTGACCAACACAGTAGAGAGAGGGAGATGGTGGGATTAAATTCCTCATCCCTCCTGACAAACACAGGAGAGTGATGGAGATGGGATTAAATTCCTACTTTTCAATCCAGCTGCTCCCAGCCGCTGTCTGACACTCGTTGGCCAGATAAGCCTTTTTCTTTCTGTTCATTCCAGGACTTACCTGGTGTGTTCCTACCACCTCAACATTGAAGTTAAAACTGCTCTTGTGTCTTTGGCAGAGAATACACACACCACGCGCTGCTCCTAGATGGACAACCCATCGCTTCTCTAGACCAGCATTCAAACAAACTTCATCTTATTTCTACCTGTTACAGGTGGCAAAGAAATTGTCCTTGAAGATGAATGAGGTTGACTTCTATGAGCCATTTATGGACGAGCCTGTTGTCATCCCTGACAAGCCTTACACAGAAGAGGAGATCGTGGAGTTTGTGAAGGAGCATCAAAGGTGGCTGCAAGGGCCAGCGGGGGGTGGGGACGCTGGGGTGTCCCCAGTGCTGACATCGCAGACCCACCAAGAGCAGCATTCCGGGTCTATACCCCAGCAGAACAGGCCTCGGTAGTACAGCTTTGGTGACCAGGATAAGCAGCAGGGACCTTCCTACTTCTGAATATGAGTCTGCACTCTCAAGCAGTGTTAAACTAACCCCCCCAAGTCAGCAAACCCCCTCAAAGCCAGAGCAAAATAGAAACAAAATTCTACACTAATAATGATGGCAATTTATTGAAAGCTTCCCATATGCCAAGTACCAGGCTGAGTGCTTCATGAAAACTAGTTTATCTAACCTTACAAGGTAATTATGGTTATCTCAACTTTATAGAGATCAAGAAATTAAACTTAGAATAGTTAAGTAACTTAGGCAAGGAAGAACATTCTATACACAGAACTTCTGGGAGAGGAACACTTGACACCATTTAGAGTAGCTGTAGCATGAATCAGCAAACTGCTGTAAAGAACCAAACAGTACACATTTCAGGCTCTGCGGGCCAGATGGCCTCCGTTGCAACCACTCAACTCGGCCGCTGTAGCATGAAGGCAACTCAGATCATGTGCAAACAAACGGGTGTGGCTGCATCCCAGTGCAAGTTTGTTTAGAGAAACAGAAGGCACTGGCCAGATTTGACCCACCAGCTGCAGTTTGCTGACCCTTGTTCTTAAGGGAGGGACACTATGGGACCGTGGCTCACCACCCCACCCGGCCACCTTCAAGTGTATGCAGAAGTGTGTTCACTATACCTGGAGCATCCTGGTCCCCTCATCAGGACAGTCCCAGTCCTTCTGGGAGGCAGGACTTGGAGAAACATATTAACATGTCTGGCAGTATTTGCCAACATTTAGAAAGGAATGAACTATGAGCAAAATATAGGTCCCACCTGCTCCCCTAAACATTCCCATAGGGCTTTCGAGGTATGTCTCTGGTGATTAAAAAAAAAAAAGCAGTTTGGGGCTAGAGAACTGAGTCTTTCTGTTTTCTCTGTGAGGTCTCCTCATTCCAGGCCTGCTGCAGGCTCTCAGCGGTGGCAGCAGTCTGTGAGGGGGGCAGCGGCTGCTCGCCCTGGGAATGAGCTGACCCTGAGCCCTCTGACCCGCTGTTTGTAACAGACTTTCCAATCCTTGGGTGGAGTGGGTCTGTGGAAAGGCTGAGTGGTGTAGGCCCAGCTGCATCTGAGCAGGTATGTTTCTTAGGGGAGAAATAGTTTTTAGGGCTCTTCACACTCTTGGGAATGAACCACCATCTCACCCGACCGTTCCCGGTGCTGAGGCTGCCGTATCTGCCATGGTGATTCCGACTCAAGGAAATGCTTTTTTTTTTCCCCCAGACCTACTCTACGTCGCCTGCGCCCAGAAGATATGTTTGAAACATGGGTAAGAAAGTGGCCAGCTCTTTCTGCCTTTCAGATATGGGTATATTCTCTAAGTATATACACTCCAAGAGGAGGGTCCCTTTGATTAAGTCTCCAAACTTGAACTAAGTCTTATTTGGTTGGGGTGAGTGTCTGGCTGGTACAGTGTTTGAAATATGGACAACGTCACCCTCAGTTAAAACCCAGTTCTCCGGAGATCTGAGTCTGGCTCTTTGGTCCTACTCATTGGGCAACATTACTCTGTCGCTGAGTTCACTTCCCACAGGGACTACTGAGTTCACTTCCCACAGGGACTACGGAGTCCACTCCTTGGCTGGCAGGAGTCCAGGGGCAGCAGCTCAGGCCGTAAGTCAGACAGACATGCCAGCTGCCTGGTAGCTTTGTGTTGGACAACGAGTCAGGGTGGTCTTTCTGAGCTTCAGTTTTCCCATTTTAAATTGGGAATATTTGTAAGGATGAGTGACATGAAGAGTTCAGAGCATAGTAGACACCAGTTTAATGAATGGCAGCTGCTTTTTTAAATACCAACTCAAGGCACTGGGAAGCAGCGAGGCAGCTTGTCCTCTAGGCCTATGTCACGGCCAACAGGTCAGGTGGCTCAAATAGTATTAGAAAGGGGGCCTCGGAGATACCCCTCCCACCCTTGCCCCGGCTTTGTACAGAATTTCATAAATAATAACCACCAGCGTTGGTGGAGCATTGCTCAAAGCGCTCCATGTGTCATCTCTCTTGTCACTGTCAACAGCTCTGGAGTTACGCAGAGCCGGTTCACTCCCATTGTGTACATGGTCACTCTGACCGACCACTTAGGGACACATAATTAATGCAGATTAGTTCTTAGAACTTGCGTTTAGCCATCTGGAGTCAAAGCTCACGTCTTCTCCAGGATGCCTCCCAGACTGGCGCGTCCCCACAGGGAACCACTGGAATTGGGTGTGGGGTGGGGTCAAAGGGATTGATATGGAAGCATTTATTTAGTTTGTTCTTTAATTCAGAGTCTGAAGTGGCGGGTGAACAGAACCACCAGGGAGGAACTAGCCACTCCCTTGTGACTGGCTTGTAGCTTATGTGGCTGTTTGGAGGTAGAGGTGACACTGAGGGGCAAATCAACCAGTCTCGAGGAGGGTGCTAGTTAAGAACCACCTAGCATGGCAGAAACATATTTTCCTAACATTTAAACCCATTCAAAAGGTTAACCCTTAAAAGGTCTTATTACTAGATTTTAAAATAATAATGAAAGAGTATAATGGTGCTTTAAAAATAATATGCTTTGTAAAAATTGTTTTTACTTTTTACTCTCCGGTAATTTCAGACTTAACAAAAGTAGTGTGAAGCATTCCGTCCCTTCTCATCCAGGTTCCCTAAATACTAACATTCCACCACCTTGGCTTTATCATACTCTCCATCTCTCTTACACGTATATATATATGTTTTGTTTTGTTTTTTAAACAGTTTCACTTTGTCACCCTGGGTAGACTGCTGTGGTGTCATAGCTCACAGCAACCTCAAACTCTTGGGCTCAAATGATCCTTTGCCTCAGACTCCGGAGTAGCTAGGACTACAGGTCCCCGACAAAATAACAGACTAATTTTTCTATTTTTAGTGGAGATGGGGTCTTGCTCTTGCTCAGGCTGGTCTTGAACTTATGAGCTCAAGCAATCCACCCGCCTCGGCCTCCCAGAGTGCTAGGATTCCAGGCGTATATATGTATACTTTTTTCTGACGTGTTTGAGAGTAAGTAGCAGATGCAATTGCCCTTTATCCCTAAATACTTCAGGACTTTCTCACATGTAGCCACAGTGCAATTATCAAAATCAGGAAATTAATGCTAATTCTAGTATCTAATCTATGGGCCTTATTCAAAGTGACTAGAAACTTTTCTTTCTCCCAGACCCCGTGCAGCCCCAAATCTCACACTGCATTGGCTTGCTCTGTTTCTTTGGTTGTCTTTAATCTGGAATAGACTTTTGGTCTTTATTTGTCATGACCCAGAATGCCATTTTAAATTAGAGTGATTATTGCTGTTCTGTCCTGCTACGGCTCTATCCTTAGTTCTTCTTTTTATCTCCTTTATCCCCAAAAGCCAAGTCTCAATTGTCTGGGGTTCAGGAAGGGTGAGAATACAACACCATAGGACTTTCTTCCAAGACACACCATACTGACATAGCAGTGTCACCCTGAGATTGTGTGACATCTGAGAGCCAGATAGCCACATGCTCCCCCAACCACAGACACCCCCAGCTCCCAACAGGGCTGCAAAAATGCTCCTTCTTGTCACCTTAGAGGCAGATCGTTGTTCGGGAAGTTTACTGTCTGTCTTCATGAGAACCCATTTTCTGCTCTCTTTTCTCTATTGTAGCCTGTTGCTATAATATAAAATAACAATGTTGGCTCATACTTTCCACATTAGCACATACCGAATTGTTTTCCAACTGGGGAAGGGTACTGTGGATTTAACCAGGTAGAGAAAAGGGCAAGTAGAATGACTTATTCCTTCCCAGCACCCCATCCTGGAATAGCCACTGACTTTCCCAGAAGGGCTGACCAGACCCAGCCAGCTCCTCCATCCAAGTCTCCAGCAAGGGTGGAACGGGAGGACAGGCCCCCTCAAGGGTCATCTTCACATCTCTAGAAAAGAAGCAGCAGAAATAAACTGAGTTATAAGGGCCACTGAGGAACTGCTCCCCAGAACCCCTCCTGATCCACCTGTGCCCCTGGGGCTCCAAAGAGTGGCACCTCCATCAGCCACGTGGCCACAGCAACTTAAACCACAGATGTTGTGGAACATGCTTAATAAACTTAAAAGTCTTTATCTTCAACACCTACTTCCCAAAACATCGTAAAATATTTAAAGGAAACAAGAAAACTAGCTAGTGACAAAGCAACTATTGACCTTTTACTGTCCCCAATTGTGCAGGTTTTTAAAGCATCAAACCACAGAAAACACATCATATATTATTACTAAAGAACCTGGTGGGGGGGGGGGCGAGTGTGTGGTGGCTCATGCTATAATCCCAGCATTCTGGGAGGCCAAGGCTGGTGGATTTCTCAAAATCTGGAGTTGGAGACCAGCAAGATCAAGACCTTGTCTCTACTGAAAATAGAAAAACTAGTTGGGTGTAGTGGTGGGCACCTGTAGTCCCATCTATTCAGGAGGCTGAGGCAAAAGGATCACTTAAGCCTAAAAGTTTGAGGTTGCTGTGAGCCATGACAGCACAGTACTCTAGCCAGGGTAACAACTACTCCATGTCAGAAAAAAAAGGCAGCTGGTGTGCAGTGATACTTGCTGTGTGTAAATCAGAGAGCTATTTATTTATTTATTGAGAAGATTCAGTGAACATCAAGGTGAAGCAGGACAATCAAGACCATGCAGTGACCCATCATTCCCCTTGGAGACTCTCCCTCTACCCTGACAAGAGGTCAGTCAGGGTCCTGGGCAACTGCCCCCAGGGCATGGGAGTCAGCAATTACTTCTAAAGGAATCTTCCCTCTATTGCCAGCAGCAGAGTACTTCCAAAACAGGGCCAGAGACCCCAGACAACAAGGAGGTCACTTCATTGCCCCTTCATTAGGGAGCCCGCTAGTTGTAGGGGTTACCTTGTATCTTTGCATCGCTTCATTCAACATGAGAACAAGCACATAGTCAACAAAGACTGGGAGGAAACAGCAGAATACTAACTGGAGTGCTGTGCTCCCTTCGTGGATAACAGTAAGTTTGGCTTCTTGTTGGTATCTCTTAAGATTGTCAAATATTCTTCAGTGAGTAAGATTTTCATTGCCGTATTCTTTTTTGAGTCAATAGGCATCAGAAAGAACCTCTGTGGTAAGCGCTGGGGTTATAAACATGAATGGTACTGTCTTCTCAGGGCTGAGTAGATGAACCGGTCCCCAGACACGTGGTGGCAGCCCAGAGTGCTCCCTGCTGTGACAGGGGCTGCACACGACATGCTGGGAGTCCAGAGGAGCGTGTTCATCAGAGCCATGTCTAGGTGTCCAGTTCTCTGGGGGATCTTGTGCTCAGTCACTTTATGTGAAGGCTCTTTTTCTGCCTCTTTCAATGTAAGTAAGAGCTGCTGACCTGAGTTTGCAACATCTGCAAACTCTTAGAGGCGCCATCAATTCATGGAGCCTGTTCTGCTGGTGGGGTAGTGAGAGAGAGTGTGGCTGTGTCCCCCGAAATTCATACATTGAAATCCTAACCTTCAAGGTGATGGTATTAGGATGTAGGGTGTTTGGGACGTGATTAGGTCATGAGGGCTCTGTCCTTGTGGGATGAGTGCCCTTATGAAAGAGGGCCCAGGGAGTTGCTGGTGACTTACGTGAGGACACCCAGGAAAGCACTGTCCATGAAAGAGGCCCCTCCCCAGACGCCAGATGTGACCGTACCTTGATTTCCCAGCCTTTAGAGAAGTGAAAAATAGATTTCTATTGTTTATAAGCTATGCGATTTGTGAAAGTTTCTTGTAGCAGAGCCTGAATGAATCCAGACAGTGGGCTTTAGAGCCAGAGATAAATGACTTGAATCCCATTTCTATCACATCCAGCTCTGTATAAGTCACTTCAATTCTGTAACCATTAAATAGGAGTGACTTTCATTTGAGATTTCAAGACAAGGTACTCAGATAGCACTTACACAAAAAGTGGCAAATGCCAGATGTTGTTGCCATTTTAATCATCGTTGTTATTTTAAGGCATAAACCCTTTCCTTAGAGAGCTTGCTATCCAGTTGAGGAGGGAAGATTTGTGAATTTCCAAGGAAATGTGATCTAAAGTCCAAATGGGTGGCCTGAGTAGCGAGGGCTGTGGGATCAGAGAAAGTCCCCGGTTGGCTCAGTCCTGCATTCAGCTCGGCTCCTCCTCCCCCGAGCATGATGGCTCTCCCTGAGTAACCCCGGCTGATCAGCTTGCCCATGGATTCCTGCTCTCTGAGTCTAGTACTGAAAATGCCTAGCACCTAGCACAGCCCTGCTTCTTTGAGGGTATTCAATACAGGTTCATGTGCTGAATCTCTGAGACGCACAGACACTCTTTCCCTTGGTGACAGTTCTCCATTCAGGGACTGTCTCAGGTCTGGGGAATGACTGTCATATTATGAACAGCCTTTCTAAGGAAAACAAGTATGGATTTTTAATTCTAAAACCAATTTCCAATGCGTTCTAGAAGGGCATACAGAAATGAGGCCTGCTTCGCTGAGTTAATGGCGTGCACTACCAACTGATGGCAGGAGACAGGGACGCGAGACGGCCTAATGAGAACTGATTGGGGAGCTCTGTCTGGCAATAATAGCAAATGTAGAACCGTGAAACCTCAGCCTCCCCTTCTGGCTGCTGTCGGATTTGTGCAATAAACTGGTGCACAAGCACGCAGACACGTACATACATTGATCTGTAAAATTCAATTCCTCAGAAAATCTGACCAAAGCAGTGCCCACTCTCTTGTTTTTAATAATAATATTTTCCCATTTAATCTCTCTTAGAATTTTTGGAGGCTTTGTCCATTCCAAACTCAAAAGAAAAAAATTAGCATTTAGATAGGATTGCACCAGCATTAAAATCAATTGAAATGGAAACAGAGATCATGGGACGGTTGAGCCACCTGGAGTTTTTTCCATAGAATGATTCTGATATGACATTCAGGGTACCCAATGCATCCCTCTCCCCACGTCTGCTATATCAGTATTCAGCCAGTTTTGTCACAGCTCTCCCAGTCTCCTGAGGATCTCATTTATTTAATTATTTATTTCTTTAATTTTATTTATTTTAGAGACAGGGTCTCACTCTGTCTCCTAGGCTTGAGTGCAGTGACACCATCATAGTTCAATGCAGCCTTAAACGTCTAAGCTCAAGCAATCCTCCTGCCTCATCTTCCCAAGCAGCTGGAATGACAGGCATGTCCCACCACATTTGGATAATTTTTAGAAGTTTTTTTGTAGAGATGGGGGTGTCTCACTTTGTGAGTAGCGAGGGCTGTGGGATTCAGAGAAAGTCCCTGGTGGGGCTCAGTCCTGCATTCAGTCCTTGCATAGGCTGGTCTCATAGCTCACAGCAACCTCAAACTTTTGGACTCAAGTAATCCTCCTGTCTCAGCCTCCCAAAGTTGCTAGGATTACAGGCACAAGCCCCTGCACCTGGTCAAGATCACATTTCTTGTCACAGAGGCCCCTCCAAGCTCTTGCTCTTCTTTCTCCAGGGATAAACAATGTGAAGGACACACAGGGCACATAAGGCCTGTGATTCTTTCTGTCCAGGGCAGGGAAACATGACATGCCCTTTGCTTGCCCATAAATTTAAAATACTCTCTTTAGCCAGGTGCAGTGGTTCATGCCTCTAAACCCAGCACTCTGGGAGGTTAAGGCAGGTGGATTGCCTGAGCTCAGGAATTCAAGACCAGCCTGAGGAATAGCAAGACCCTGTTTGTAAAAATAGCCATGTGTTGTGGCCGGTGCCTGTAGTCCCAGCTACTTGGGAGGCGGAGGCAAGAGGATCACTGGAGCCCAAAAGTTTGAGGTTGCTGTGAGCTATGATGCCATGGTACTCTACCCAGGGTGACAAAGTGAGACTCTGTCTTAAATAAATACATAAATAAATAAATATAAATAAATAAAATACTCTCTCTAGTTTCTTTCCCTTACCCCCTACCCCTTTCTCAGTCACATGCTGTCACCTTGCCTTAGGCCCAGCTTCCAGCCTCTTCCTGGAGACTCCTACATTCATAGAGATGCTTTAGAGTCCTATACTAATTTGACAAGCTTTGTGGAAAGAACAGAAAGAATCCCAAGGAAACCCCCTCACAGTAGCAAAGTGTCCCCTACAGGTTCTGCTTCTTCAGTAAGAGGTTCCGGCCGGATCCTAACAGAAGTACTATACTTATACACGAGTTATATGTGAGCAGCATCGACCCACATGCTGATGACCTCAGTGATTCTGTGTGCTGCACATTTGGGGATGGTTTCGGGATCTGTCCGCAGCATTCATAAGCTTTCATCCTCTGGGGCATCACTGATGGTGTCCCTGGTGGTGAATTTGTCAAGCTGAGCTGCCCGGAGGGACTGCTGCTGTTACAGCCCCGGCTCGTTCACGCTCACGCTCACGCTCTTCCTCATTTTGCCTTTTGCTGCCGCTCTCCTGGACCCAGCAGACCACGGAAGTGAGACCCATTTACTGCTCATGTCTTGTGTGTAGTTGGTGCTCTCCCGTCTTGCAAAGTCATTTATGCAATCCCTGGTGGAAGTCCCCTGCATCCCAGCCGGCTGCCCGTCAGCACCCCCTGCCTCTGGGGCCCCCTGCTCGTCCTCTGTTCCCTCTGTGCGGCTGTGCCCACGCCCCTCCCACACCTCCGCCTGCCTCCCGGTTCCATTGCAGCCTCTGAGGCCCTGCCTCCCTCCTTTGTGTCTCTCCCCCTGGGGGTGTAACCTTGGACTCTTCTCTCCTACAGGAAGATGATATGAATGGGATCCACATTGTGGCGTTTGCAGAGAAGAGTGACCCAGGTAGGAAGCCCCCGGGTTGCTTCTTTCATGCCTTTGTCAAAACCTGACTTCTCACCTTTTTCAGCCCTCAGACACACCTGTCTCTTCCCTCCTGTGCCATCTACAATCCAACTGCGAGATATTGGGCACCCCCTGGTGGTCGCCAGTTAGGGGAGTCCATTTTCAAATGTGCACAGAACTTTTTTTTTTTTTGGCTGGGGCTGGGTTTGAACCCACCACCTCCGGCATATGGAGCCGGCGCCTTACTCCTTTGAGCCACAGGCAATGCCCAATGTGCACAGAACTGAGGGAAGAGCAGGTGGGAACAGATCAGAATCTCAAATATTCCACGTAGCTGCCCAAACTAAAAGGAGAACGGGGGCGCGGGGGAGAGTATGAAAACACCCTGGCTTTACAAGATATGAACCTGTGTGTATGTGTGTGCACGTGTGCAATCCTGCTTACACTGAAACTTCACTTGTCAATGTTGTGATCTGACATACCTAAATCACAACAGTACCTTAATGAATGATACTTCCCTTCATAAAATATTCTGTGTGCTTATAGGAAACTGAATAGAAAATACTCCCCTAAATAATGAGAAATGAGCTAAACAAGCTGCTTATTTTAAAAGTGCAGGAACAGCCTATAAATGAGTAACTTTGTTTTATTTTTGGAACTTGGACAACTTTCCCCTGGTTTCACTCTTTTCAACAGTGGGGGGAGTGAAGTGCAGGAACAATTAATTTTTCCAGTGGTAAAGTGCTAGATCCCCATGGCAGTGCTCTGTGGGTCTCTAAAGAAAAAGACAGAGGGTCTCTAAAGGGGAAGTGCAAGTGGAGATTCTGAAGTGTGTTTAGGAAAATTGGGAACAATCCAGCAACCAGAGAAGACAGGGAACTTTGGGATGGCTTAGGATGGCTTAGCTCTGAGGCTAAGGTGCTTCGCTTTCAGGTCTTGAGGTGCTTGGGCAGAGGTTCCAAAACATGATGGTGCACAGAACTTCAAGCATCAAAGTTACCTCGGCTGGGTTTGGCTGAGACAGCATCCTTAGGAGACTGCGATTTTACAGGGCCCTGCAGCAAGGTCTGATGTAGCAGCAGGTTGGGGGACCACTGTCCCATGTAATGTAGAATTCAGTGGTATTTGCTAGGATGTCAGCCTCTTGTACATTTCTAAGGAGAGATCCAGGAAACAGAGGCCTAGAGAAGTTAAACTGCCCAACAGAACACAGTGGCAGATCATGGAGGGGCACATGGTCTAGTTCATCGATGCAGGCCTGATTATCACTAGTGTCTTGGCCCAGGGCAGGTGCTCAAAAACTATTTCTGGGGCAGATGATTAGATAGTGTGAAGATTGATTAAGATTCAGCTCCAAATTCTTCAGTCTAGGACCAGCTTTGTTTAAAAAATCAGCCTCCATTGTTTCTTATAGACTGAAACACAAATGTTTTATCATACAGTTTTTAAAATCAGGATAGAATCCACAGATCATAATAGTCACCCTTTTACAGTGTACAAGTCAGCAATTTTTAGTGTAGTTGTGAAGTTGTGCGAACATCACCACCATCTAGTCCCACCAGCAGTCATTCCCTGTCCCACCACCTCCGCAACTGCTTCTTACTGTCTCTGAGATTTGCCTATTCTGGACATTTCATATAAATGGAATCACATAATATGTGGCCTTTGTGTCTGGCATCTTCCACTTAGCATGATGTTTTTAGGGGGTATCTGTTATATGTATGTATCGCACACGTTAGTACTTCATTCCTTTGGGGGGGCTGAATAATATTCCATTATTTCAAAACAAAGTTTATGTTCCAAATTATCTGAATGTTCTCTTGCTTTTTTCATTAAACTTTTCAAATACCTACCAATGTGCTGGATTTTCCATCATAGACTTGCAGAGTTGGAAAAACTCTTCAAGGAAATCTAGTCTTTGTCCAAAAGGAAAAACCTCCCAGTGTGGTTTCGGCTTCCTTGGACAGATTCTGGCAACCTCTTTCCCCCTGGAGGAGCAAACAGCAAAGGAAGGCAGTTGCCTAAGGTTTACACCGGGTGATCAAACAGAATTGGATCCCTGGGATTGCGTGAACAGAGATGAAGTTGCCATGGGCAGCAGCCTGCTGGCCAGACTCCAGGGGGCTTCCATTCCCCGCCCCCTTCCAGGATTGTGGGGAGGCCTGTCTGGCTCTCTGGAACAATGGAACAAAGAGGTCTCTCTGAAGTTGTAAGAACCTGTTTGACGGAGATTGCTGCTCTAATGAATCAAACTCCTAAACTATTTCCACCTCCTCCTTGCACAAATATCCCTGGGCCCAAAGCTGTGCCTTTCTCCAAAAGAGCCCAAGCTGGGGCTTGTTACTGGGAAGCCCTACGCAGTATAGCGGTGGCGGTAAGAGTAGGGGAAGGGGTCAGGGGCTCAGAAAGGCTCTTCTTATAGCAAGGGCTGGGAAAGGGAAAGTCTTGTCTGCAAGAAAGTCCCTGACTCTGCAGTTAATCACTGATTTATCCTCAGGGCACTGATGTGTAACCTGGAGAGAGGAGCCTGGCCCCAGGACTAGGAATTTCAGTCCTGCAAGTGGCAGCCCCTCTGATGCCTCTGCTGTTGCTAACAAGTTATACACAGCCTATTGTCCCAACCAGGCTCCTACCCACTTGCCAAGAGAAGAAGGCCATACATCCAGGAAGTAATTCAGTTCCTCTAACGAGCTAACTGGGCTGAGAAGCTGTGCTGGGAGCCGGGCATGGATCATCTCGTTTAGGCCCTAAAACCACTCCAGCAGGTGTACACATAGTATTATTAGTGCAATGTTGGTTGAGAAAAGTGAATCTTAGAGGTTGGAAGACTTGCCCGAATCACTCACTGTTTCTGAGCCAAAATCCAAATTCTAGCAGGCTCTCTTGATCTTCAAAGGCATGTCGATTGTGATGAAGGTGGTGATTGTCACTTACTGGGCACACATCTGACAGAGCAACCCCAGGAGGGAGGTACAATTCTCACTGCCATTTACAGCTGAGGAAGCCGAAGCTGACCCAGGTAACCTGGCTGGGAAGCAGTGGCATCGGAATGAGGCTGCGGGGTCTGGACTTGTCAGCCTGCGCCCAGCACCGCAAAGCCCTGCTACAGACTTGTGCCCTCTGAGTTATTCCCGACGACAGCCAGTGATCTTTCTCTCCACCTCCTCCCTCTGCCGCCCTGCACCTTCCCCACCTCCAACGTGGGAAAGGCAAGAAAATGGAGACTCAGAGAAGTTCAACGGCATGCTCAAGATCACAGAAGAAGCACCCTCTTAGCCGTCCTGAAGGCTCCTTCTGGGCACTGACTTGCTGTGACGCTGACATCACCCCAGCCACAGTACCCCAGTCAGCTGCAGGCTGTGAGTATGCGCAGTGCTGCTGCTCTGCTCCTGGTGGGCGGGCGGGCGGTCAGGGAGAGCAGGAAAGGGACAGGGAAACCAGCAGAGAGCAATACCACATGGAGGCTTGCGAGCCGGTTAGAGAAGAAAAGTCCAACTTCCTCCCACTCTCTGTCCTCCGATGTTCCCCTTTTTAGAATCTGAAATTACACTACAGCTGAACCCAGTGACCCAGGTCGCCAAGGACTCTTTCTAACAACTCCGACATGACCTTCACAGCCAAGAGCTTGAGTCCACCCACCCACTGTGGAAAGCTCAGGGCAGGCAGCCTTCCCTGGAAGGAGGCGCGGTCAGCTCTCCTGGCCCCAGGGTCACAGCTAGGTCTCTCCCGCTGCACGCTCTGTCGCCCCAGGCCCAGAAGCATCTGCCTTCTCTCTGCCCTTGCTGTTGCCTGGCGATGCAGTCCATCTTCCTGGCTCATGCGCTGGCCAGAGCTGCTCATTTGACAGGTTTGAAAACGAACGACTCTCTTCCCTGCCACCCCCAGATGTGTCTGTGTCAGCCTGACATCTTCTTTATAACACTTGATGAAAGCTTGCAAGGCAGCGTTTCTACATGAGTGCGTGCTGGATGGATATCCTCCAAGGGCACCCGGAATATTAGCGCTAACAAGCTGGCAACGCCAAGGACAGGCTGCTGTCTGCCCACGTGGAACAGAATTAGTGATGGGCCCCGGAAGGAACATCTCCAAGCCCCCTTCCACCTGAGCTTTGATTCTTGTTTTGGAGACTAATTGTAGAAACACTTATAGTTTCTTTGAGCTTTCCAATTTAAATTCGGTTTATTGGAGTTAACATTTAATTCTTCCTATGTGCTGAACATTGTTCCAAGCACTGAGCAAACATCAATGCATTTGCTGTCCCTGAACAGCCCTGTGTGATAGGTACTGTTGTCAGTGTTCCCAGTATAAAGATGAGGAAACCCAGGCACAGAGAAGCTAAACGTGGGCACAGTTCACATGGCCAATAATATGTGATAGAACTGGGATTCAAACCCAGCAGTCCAGCCCCGAGTCTGGGCTTTGTACCCACAGCCTTAAGCTTCTCTCCATTATGATATGGTACTGTTTGACTTTTCAACAATTCGGGAATCTTAGGGTCAGGATAAGACAGAGCCGAAAAATAAGGCTGTGGTAAGGAGTAGTAGGGTATTCACGTGTCTCAGGTGCCATCTCAAAGCCATGGGGCTCTTCCCAGGAGCAAAGACCAGGCATGGAGGAGGGGAGAGCTTCTTTCTTTCTTTCTTTTTTTTTATTAAATCATAGTTAGTGCCTTTGAGCACAGCCAGGTCCCCAAGGAATTGGGATAAGAGGCAGGGCATGGGGTGGGGGCAGCATGCTGTGGGCAACTGCTTGGTCTGCTGAATGGGGTCATGGCTCCCAAAAGGCTATGGCTGGCCTGGAACTGGTCCCCCAGGGCTTGGTGCAGACTTATTCCCACAAGTCCCTGCCAGGGAAACCGGAGAGGATAATCACTGGTTTCTCCTCCCATAAAGACGTGATTCCCAGAGGCCTCTCGTTTGCCGTGGGAAACCTTCTGGCTGTACGTGGTGCAGCCCTCAGCCCTGGGTCATGGGCTCTCAGGCCATGTGGCAGGGAAGGAATTGCAGTTCTCACAGCTCCAGGTCCCTGTCCTTTATTTAGGTCATCTCTGAGACTGCAGTCCCACTCAGAGCCATGACCACATTAACCAACCCTTACCCTGCAGCCCTGGGGAGGAGAGGACTCAGCAGCAAGGTTAGAGGTAGGAAGGGTCTCTCTATCACATGGGTGAGGCAGAGGCCATCCACCAGCACTGCAGCTGCACCAGATGCGATTTCTCAGGGTCCTGGCTGCTGCTTCCCTGAAGTTGAAGCTTTCACACTCACTAGGTTTGGAGACCTCAAGCCTGAACTTGAAGAAGGAAGATGGCAGCCACATGAGCAGGAGTGCTGAGACCACAGAGGGTAGAGATCATGAAAATGGTCCTAGACAGGCTGACGGAAAGCCTGAGTTAGACTCTGGTTCTCACACTTGCTCATGCGTGATGCTGGGCAAGTCACTTACTCTTCCTGGCTCTCAATTTCATTCTCTTCAAAGTGGAGATAATAACATCTTCTTAACCTCTGTCAAGACCAGATGTAAAGATTAAATGCAAAGTACCCAGTACCTAGCAAGTGATCAATAAATGCTCATTAAGTTTGCAGCGGCTTGATTACATGGTCACATGCCCAAAGGTGGAGCCACTGCGTCACACACAGCAGCCAGTGACACTGTGCAGGGGTGTGACCTTCTCAGCCACACCTACAGGCAGCAAGAGCAGTCCCCCAGCTCCACTTCCACCCCTAACTCTGCAATGATAGATAAATGAACTCTAAAAGCACTGGGCCATATTGATCTCAGGTGTCTGCCTTATAATCTCATTTGCAATATAGTTATGAGCAGAGGTTGAAAAATCACTGAACCAGCCCTGCGTCTCTGCAGGACGGGGGCTGTGGGACGTGAAAAGCCTCTTCTCCAGTAGTGGTCGCTCTTCTCTCCAGGCATTAAGGCCTAAGGGGACTGGATCCGAATCTTCAATGTGAGTTAGCAACGCTTAACGTGACCTCTCCGACTCAGAGCAGAGCTGCTAAGAATAGCATGCATTTTCCCTGGAATGTATTAGAGATAAGGAAGTGTACCAAGACCTTTCCCAAGAGTCTGAAATAGCCAGACAAAGGCCAGCATACCTGGAGAGAGGAGAGCTTTGTCAGAGGCCGCAGAGAAGAGCTCACGTTTGCTAGGACTCTGGGAAAGAGAAAGACTTTGCAAAGAAAAGGCAGTTACCACATTGAATGCCCGGGCAAATGTGAGTTGGTTGTACTAAAGGTGTACATTTCAGGCCACAAATTCAGCTATGCAAGATAGATCATTTTATTGCTTAGAACTGAAACTAAATTTCTTTTTTTTTGAGCTACATACCACTGAGTGGTGGAAACTGGGTCTGACAATTAATAGTCTCCCAGTTCTACACCACAATACAAGGGATCCAGGGTCTCTCTGGGTCCCAGCAAGACTTGGATGGGGTATACATCTGGTCAGAGTCACCATCATCTGTCCACGCAGGCATCTACAAAGAAGTCTGCCATTCTGCCCAATATCTGGCCCTGGCTCTAAACAGGTTACCACTGGTCCTGCCCACCTCAGCTGCAGAAATGCCTCCCATCAGCTATCCCTCCCACATAGTCCATGTTCCTCAGAACCACAGATAACTCTGTGGGGCCTTCTGACAGGCTGTTCTGCCCTAGGGCTCCTCACCAATCCTCTAAGGGATTCTGGGATCTTTCCATTTTGCTGAGTTTCACTCTGAAACAACGCTTGGGTATCCTTATGTGCTGAGATTCCCTGAAACTATGGAGATTCTATATTTGCACACACATGCACACATAACTGTGTTCCTGCACACACACACATGTATACACAGGCACAGAGTTTATTCTCAGGAACCTTCTAGAATCTCCACTCTTTTCTCTGTTTGTAGTTGGGGTGGAACATGCATGCTGTGGGTTGAGAGAACGTTATCTCTTACTAAATATCCTCCTAATTTTTTTTCTTTATGGAAAAAATTGCGTGCTCTGAGCGTTTAAAGTTTAGGATTATAAGGTTAAAAAACTTGTGTTCTTGTAAGGCTTGTCTCTGCTTTTCTTATGAATCATCCCTTCCCTGGGGGCAGTGATTGCTCCTGACTGAACAGAGGGAGGGCACAACACCAGGAAATGGGGGTGGCGGGAAGGGAACCCCATTTACTATCTCAGAAGCTATGGAACCAACTAAATCACGAGCTCACTAAGTCTGAAGATTTTAGGAATTTCTTAAGAGTCCAGGCTTAAACATTCTTGGTCCTTAGAGCAAATGTTAGGGGGATCCATGAGGGAATCTCCTTCTCAAGAGATGCCCAAGACCAGTGAAGACAAGCGGGGGTTCTCTGTACTGGGGTTGACCTTTCTGAACCAAGACTGGTCAGTTTTCACATGCAGATGAACAAATGAACTTGGCTTCCAAGGTTAAAAACCTGCCAGTTCCCTGTGAACTTTTAATCCTTTGTTCAAATGTTTTATTGTTTCCTTTGTATAAGCTGCTTTGTGGCCAGAGCTCTCATCTGACTCATTGTATAGAATGATACTATAATCGGGTGTATACCAAATGGCCTAAGAAACCCTCATGGTAAAACCACATGCTGCTCTCCATGTCAGAAGCCATGTACGGTGGGAGAGAGGGGTTGTTTAACCTTCTTGAATCCTGCTTCAGATGGCTACGAGTTCCTGGAGATCCTGAAACAAGTGGCCCGGGACAACACTAACAACCCTGACCTGAGCATACTGTGGATTGACCCCGATGACTTTCCTCTGGTGAGTGGCTCCGGGCCAGGGCCCCAACTAGCTCACCTGCGAGCCCCACATCTGTGTTTGGTGAGAAGGAGGAAGTGAGATAGGCAGGGGCCCCTGAAGAAACCCAGTGCCCCCACCATCCAGTGGGAGAGATCTTGGCCCTAGGAGCAGCTTTGAACATGAGGCCTGGTGGTGAGGCTGAAATGATCAGACTTGCTGTTCTCATTCCCTGGAGACCAGGGGTTGGAGAGCCCCAGGGCAGGGGTGGGGTACACCTAAGTGAGGGGTGTGATTCCTTCTGCAGCTGGTCTATAGCCTCCACTCACCCCTCCCAACCCCTCCTAGAACCATTTTTATTTCCTGCATGGTCCCAGGTAACCTGAATTATTATGTACTAAAAATCAGAGATGAACATTTTGCATAGAGGTAGGAACTTTGGCAGGGAGAGGAGGGAGGAAGGGCAGAGGAGAGAGGGGGTTGGTGTGCTCTCACCTAATCAGCACAATATAGGGGTATATGGCACACCTCCTGGGTGAGGGACACAACTATAACTTGGATTCCACCTAACAACGCAAGCAATGTAACCTAATTGTCTGTACACTCATATTAATCCAAAATAAAAAGTAAAAAGAACGTTGTGGAGAGAAGGAGGAACCTTCCTGAGGGCAGAGAGCCTGCCTGTCCACCAGAACCTAGTTTAGTATCTGGCACATGTTGAGTATTAGAACCTTGAAATCCAAACTCTTGTGACTGTCTGTGATCCATGGCCAGAAAGCTTTGCTTACACTTAGTTTTAAGAACTGAAGCCAGTGGTAATGATAAAGCCGGCTAATACCCTGTTGTGATCGGGAACTATCTTAGGTTCTTTACACCCATCATGACCGTTAATCCTCTCTACACCCCCATAAAGTAGGTGCTATTACAACCCCCATCACGCGCATGCACAGACTGCCAGCTGGAGAGGGTAAAGCTTGTAAGTAGTAGGTATAATATTCCAACCTAGGTCTACATGATGCCAACCCTTGGGCTGTGCTAGGTAAGAGGGAACTGCTGGTGCTCAGTACAGTTTAGTTATCATTAGGCTATAGATTATAACTTTATATTCTGGGAATTATCATGAGTTGCACAGGTCATGACTGATGATACTATGATAAAATAGTGAAAATTGAGACTGGGTCCTGAAACTCAACCCCACCTAGAGGATGGGTGAAACAATGGTGGTGATCTCCATGGCACTTGAGACCAATGTCATCATGGTGGGTAATTATAACAACATTATGGCCACAGATGACTGCACACAGCACGGCTTTGTTTATTTAGCTTCTGTCTGGCTGGATTTCTGGTTTATCTATGTCGTTACACAAGCTCGCAGACAGGCTGCAGTGCTCCTGGCCAGTTCTGTATGTTAGCCTTGATTTTTGCACGGGAGAAATCTTCAGACTATTTTGATTTCCAGATTCCTGAATGTTCCCAGCTCCCATTCGGTCATGTATTTGCCAGGGAGACCTTCCCACTGATCATCTTCTTCCCTTTTCTTAGCCCTAGGACCTCTTGCTCCTTTAGTCCTGCCCCCGAGAGATTTTTCTAGCTAGAGCCCATGCCTGCCTGAATGAGGAACCCCTCTTCTTCTTAACACTTACCTGTCTGCCAACTCATGGCACATCATGGCTTCCCCAGCCGTCTCCTGTAGAAGAGTGGCACAAAATAAGGGATTTCCACAATGGAAAATTGAAAGGGCAGTGGAAAGGAATGGCTGTGTAAACTGTATAAGAGCTACAAGTAATTTGGGAATCAACCTTGGCCTATCTATAATATTTTTCCTTCTAGCTGTAGAAGCTTATATATTACAAGTTTTCATAGTTTGTACTATGACATCTTTTATTTAATGCTTTAAATTTAAAATGCTTGAGGGCTGGGTCCAAGTCTTCAATTTCGTAAGTACCCACAACTGTTTGGGAGACCTCTGACCAATGGCGACCTAGTTACTGTGATGAGATACTGGGTGGGTCCAGCCACAGAAAGTGGCTTTTACAGGGGATGCCTCCTGCCAATTGTCTAATCTTGCTTTCTGTTGCTGCAGCTCGTTGCCTATTGGGAGAAGACCTTCAAGATTGACCTGTTCCGTCCACAGATTGGAGTGGTGAATGTGACAGATGTGAGTGCCCCCCATGAAGGCTTCTCAGGCATGCCCAGCCGGCCTTGTCTTCTGCTCTGCAGTCTAGATTGTGGGACCATCCATTGAAGTCCAGCTCCTTCAGAGATGAGGAGGACTTTGGTCCTGCCTGAGCTCAGGAAACTTGCCAGTGTGGCCCAGGCCTGGTTTCTGAACCAGCCCCATCTGTAGTTCCCTGGCTTTCTTCCATGAGCACATCTCCTTGCTTATGGGGCCTGACCTGATTTGCTGATTTAGAACTTTCTTCTCAAAGCCAAACAAGGTCTGGGACAAGGTCTCTTTATACAGGAAAATCCATGCCTGGAGCTGTCATTGCTCGATGGGTGATGGGGAGGTTGTGGCCCAGAAGCCCAGCCAGTTAACCACCTCACCACCAGGACACCAGGCTTACAAAAGGGAAGGGAGAAAGTCACATGCCGGGGGATTCTCCTCCCCATTCAGTCACCACTGATGGGCAGGTGGGACAGGCCAGTGAGGACAGCTGGGAGAGTGTGAGGAATCTTAGGCCTCAGTCCAGACACCTGATACATCTCCACCATGATGAAACAGAGCAGGGCAGACACAGCCACACAAATAATGGGCAGAAAGCAGTGATCACAGAGGATCATTAGAGGTGTAATTGAGGTGGGGTCTGTTGGGAACAGGGCCTGGTTAGCAATGTTCTTTTGCCCTACTGGTCTAGGTTCAGTCTCCTAGGAAACTCTATATCCATTTATTTTGTAAACCACTTTTAAAATTAATGACAATGATAAATAATTTTTTAAATATGCTCAAGTTAGAACAGTAGGATAGAAGGTGAAGAGGAAAAGTATTCCCCACTGGCCTGAGCCACTCCCTAGTCTCTGAGGGAAGCATTGGTGGATGGACCTCTGAGGGAACTTCATACGTGTATTCCACTGAGTAACGGAATACACGTGTCCTTTGGCGCTGCACGAGTAGAATGTGACACCGACCGTCCTGCCACTGGGAGTTTCCATTTAACAATGTGCACATTCCTGATAAGTGTAGGAGACCGCGGGGCCCAGTCGGCCCAGCCGCCGTGTGCTCACTCCTGCACTGACTTGTCCTTCTGTCCCTCGCTGCAGGCTGACAGCATCTGGATGGACATTCCGGATGATGATGACCTGCCTACAGCCGAGGAGCTGGAAGACTGGATTGAGGATGTGCTTTCCGGAAAGATAAACACGGAAGACGATGACAATGAAGATGAAGATGATGACGATGATGAAGATGACGAGGATGATGACAATTCTGATGAAGACGATCACGATGACAGTGACGATGATGACGAATAGGCCCACGTCCAGACGATTCTGATGAGAGCAAACTCACAGCTACCCACTATATACAGATAACCACACGAGGCGGCAGCACGCGGCCCCGCCCCACGCCCGCCCGCTCCCTTCCCTCTTTCATCATCTTTCTTGTCTCCCTTCTCAGCAGAAGCCATACCATTCAGAAATGCCTCTCCAAATCCAGCAACATCCCCCCAGCAGGGACAGGAGGCGAATTATTCCCATGTAGACTGTTTTGCCGGCCACAGAACAGCTCTTATTCTTTGCTGTAACATCAGAGGTCATGACAGGGCTGGAATCTGGCAGCCTGGGGAGAATAATCCCCTAACACAAGTTTACTTGTTGTCTTTGGCTATGACAGTAGCAGAATCGACAGCCTGCTAACTCACAAGCATGGGGTGAGCTCATGACCGGAGCCCCCAGGGGAGCCACATGAGTCATCAGTTTCGCCATACTTAGAGCATCAGTTGGGATCTCTCTTAGGGAAGGCTCAGCCTTGGAGACAAATTTATAAATCAGCTTCTCTAGGCTCTATTAAAATTATTATTGCAAATGTGGGTCAGACCATTAAGAACTCAGATCTAAGCCTTGGATGGCTACCCAGCGGCTTTGAAACATGTGTACGGGTGCCACCCTTGTTTCTCGTATATGGGGATACTGGATGGGAGGTTAATTTGCCCTCTGAACTTCTTCTCTCTAGGTCACAAGTCTCACATAATTCACCAGCGACAGTGGCGGGGGAGGAGAGCACTGGGAGGTGAGAAACTGGAAGGATTAAGGGTTTACATTTTTCTGATGGGTTCATGTACCGTATTGGGTTAGCCGGCTTCCTGGCCTGGGCTGGGTTCTGAATACCCCTCTCTGTCATTGCAACTGAGACTTCCTGCTTAGAGTAAAGGCTGCTTTATCCAGCAGTCAATTAACTCTCCGTGTATCAGCACTCCCACCTTTGACCAGGGAAACGATAATTGGAGTTCATAATGATGCCCTCAAGCACTGAAGGAAAAAAAAAGGAAAAAAACCCCAAAGTGCCTTCCAAGCTGTCTAACGTTACGTCTTGCTTGGTAGTTTTAGCCTTAAGTGTGCAGTATAAAGTTCTAATTTATTTTCTCAACCTTTTAACACATGTGTAAGACACTGTGCAAATTTTTAAAAAATAGAACAATCCTTTTGCGGAAAAGTAGCTAACTAACTCTGTCATTAAACTCATATTTTGAAAATATTGAGACTATCTTGAAAATCCTGCCTTGATTTTTCTGATCCTGTTCATTCTCATCTGGTTCCAGCCTTGCTTCTTTCAATCTTCTCTGTTTTCCTTTCTGGCTTCTCTTCCTCTACCCGCCCTGTAAATGATAGCGCTTCACGGCCTCTCTCAGCTCTATGCTCATCCGTGGCGATAGCCTCATGCCCAGCCACTGCCACCTGTGTGCTCGTGACCTCTCGATCCTCAACCTCTCGCCTCAGTTTAGACTCACTTGTTCAATTGCTTCCAGACATCTTGACTTAGATGTTGCACAAGCACTTCACACTCAACAAAACTTGAACTCACTCCCTTCTCCCCTGACGTCCTCCTCCCCTCATGGAGTCCCAGTTTGATGGGACTACTCTACCCCATTGTCTGGGTGACCTGAAGGTGCCCCTTTCCTTCTGCTCCCAGGGCGTTCTGTGCATTTCCTAGACTGTAGTACTTAATGTTTGAATTCAATTTGCTCGTCTGTCCTTAGAGGCAAGGAATGTATTATCTTTGTAACCTAGCACTTAGTATTTTGCCCATCATAAAGTAGATATTCATTTACTGAGTTGGGTGAATAACTGCCTATGCAGAACACCTATATAATAATTCTCCAGCACTGTTGGATAACAGATCTCACAGGGTATAGTACTAGGGTTTACTTGTGCAGGTATAAATTGTACACATTTGGGCTAATGGCCCAAAGAAACAGAGTTTGTCAATAATCTATACGATGAATATCTTCAAGTCAATTGTTCTCTCTGATCCCCATTTATGCAACAGGTAAGAATTTGATTGTGTGCAATCAACATTCCATGCAGGTAAACGATAGCTGAATTTAGCAGAAGGCAAGTTTCAGCATTTCTTTGTCAAACCATCAGGTTCCCTTTCAATAGTTCCATCTAAAATAAGCTGATAGTTTAAATTATTAATAAATTACCATTCACAAAACCAATTCAATACTCACGAGTCCCCAAATCCAGGGTCTGACTTTTTTATCCTTCCTAAAGATCTTTTTACTTGTTGATTTGCTTAAAAGGTCTGTTTCATTTTCCAAGTTTTAGTGCCTAAGGATTTCATTTTTAATTATCTAGTCACTTAAAATATTTCCTTCACCATAAAATGATTGACAACCAGTAGTCTTCATTACAGGGGGAACTCTACTTTCTCAGTCTATCGTTACAATTGTCTTGGTTTTCAAAGAGCTGTGACGGGTTGTCTTAAGAGGGTATCAACATAACGCAAGAGAAAAAACATTTCCTCAAAAGTAAATAATGTTTTAGATTGAAATAATCACACAAAGAAACTAAACAACATACAATTTGGGGTTTCAATTAAAAAGTTTAATCGAAAGTATAAAACATGTAATGTGTAAAATGTTTTATAACTGGAGGGCTCAGAGGAAACAAAGTAATTTGGATGACAGGTTATAGGTTATGCTGTGTCTACCAGAGACACATTTTTACTGACGTCACAATGAGAAGAGGTTTCATAGCATAAACTTCATGAGTGTAAGCAAATGGATTTATGCAGATGGTTGCTAGGAGTGTAATTCGTTTATTTACGTGTTTAGAAATGTCTCAAGAGCACCCACCCCCCCCAGCTTATGCAGTAACTCACACTCAGGCTTTCTCATATGCCTGCAGTGACCATGAGTAGAGCCTGGTTGGCAAAACTACTCATCCTGGTTACAAAGTACAGTACTAACTGATCAGAAAGAACACCAAATGTCCCTGGCCCTGTTTTTGCACAGTTATAACTCTATCAGCCAGAGACAGAAGGTTTCATCACTGAATTTTCCATACTGATGCTGACTTTGTTAGAATTTGCTTCTAACAAAAGCATTTGTCAAATAATCTTCTCTCAAATAAGATCTGGCCCAGGCTACTTTATCCCCTTGCGAGCATCTTTGTTGAGGAAGGGTCATGAGGTGAGTCAAATTCATCACCTAAGTGAGCCAGTCTCCACCCTCATCCTTGCTACTCTCCAGCACTCTCTGCAAAAACTGTACTCGTGAAGGACTGTTTGGAAATCAAATTTGGTTCACCCTGACATAATTTAGGGGTCCCCAAGGAGCTTGCCATTTAATTAAAGCTCACCGTGAATCCACTATAAAAATAAGAAATTACTGCCAAAGTTTAGATTTTCATGGTCCTTTTTTTTTTTTTTTGAAGAGTGATCAACACTACGTGTATATTCCAGTCCTTCCGTAATCTACTGTCGTGCCTTCCTACTGGCCCTAGAATGGTGATAATATATGAATGCCTAAATTTCCTTCACCTTTTGCTGAACTAACCTTGTCACCTGCAGATCAGATCTTACTGCTAATTCCCTGAGCAACAGTCTCTGGTTCTCACAGATGAAGGATCTTTGGGATTTAAAAGCTCATAAATGATGAGCAACGCTCACGACAGAAGCCCATGCTGAGATAAATACAAGACATACAGAACCAGACAGCGGTGCGTTCAAACGTCATCCAGATATTATCCCAGTGCCAAAGTAAGTGCCACAGACACTCTGAAGAGAAAAGCCTGAGGTTTGTCACATTTGTTCCCAAAACCTAAAGTAAGTTTCTTCCTCTAAGACAAGGACGAAACACTGATGCTTTAAATCTGAGACAGACAGATTACAGGCCCTTAGTGTCATATTGCAAGTCACTTTTCTCTGCATGGGATCAGCTTTTAGGCATCTGTCATTGTCTTAAAGAGGCCCTAAAATAAACCATTAAAAATATTTATTTTGGGTGGCACCTGTGGCTCAAAGGAGTAGGGTGCCAGCCCCATATGCCAGAGGTGGCGGGTTCAAACCTAGCCTCGGCCAAAAACTGCAAAAAAAAAAAAAATATTTATTTTACAGGGAAACAAATCAAATTGGGGTATGCAAAAACAGGACAGAACCCAGTAAAAAGGGCGTGCAGAGCCCCCAGATCTAATTTTACTCAGTCGTTTTACTTTTTTTTGCAATGTTTGGCTGGGGCTGAGTTTGAACCCGCCACCTCCGGCATATGGGGCTGGTGCCCTACTCATTTGAGCCACAGGCGCTGTGCAGTAGTTTTATATTTCTTATCCACTCTGTGACAGTTCCTTTTAATTCCTAACGAGAAGCAATGTTGAGGGATGGGAACACCATCTTCCCTCCCCTGTTCTCCACTGAAAGCAAACAGCAAGGCAGAAAAAGATGCTTTATGCCCAACTGAATCAAAACTTACAGACAGGGGAATGGCAAAAACCAGTGTTCTCTGAACCCTATTTTATGACTGCTCTGTAAGTTTTGATGTCAAGTGTGGGGAAGATAGTGGATGCAAACCGCTTGCTGAGAACACCAAGTTCAAGGATGCAGGTGGGGACTCTAAACCTTCCCAGGCTGGAACTGCAGACAGCCCCTCTCACCCCAACCAGGGTAGGCAGATGGGGCTCGATGTTGCAATAGAGCTGGGAAGAGGCCAGGTCCAGCCCCAGCATGACTCCCTGTGCCCAAGGCGCCCATGTGCCCAAGACAACAGGGTGGGGGTGGGAGTGGGTGACACAAAAGCAAAGGTGGCTGCTGGGAACAATAGTACCTTGTCTCACAGCAGGTGGAATACTGGCAGGACTGGGTTTTCCTGGGGGAAGGAGATTCTCGAGTTTTGCCCATCGATTACCCTAACAAACCTGCCAGTGCGGCAGAGACCAAGGGACCACACAGTGTAAACCGAAAATGAAAGATGTCCCACCACCCAGTGAACCCCCAACCCCAGGTTTTGATTCAAAGTTGTGTGTCTGAGCCCCCTCCTCCACACCCAGAAATGCCACATCATTTAGGTCACCGTCCAGGGCACAGTAGACTGAGGGACTGGAATCAAAACCCATTTGACAGTCCATTTACCCCAATGAGACCCTGGGCAAGTCCCTTCCCCTCTCACCTTCTTTTTTCTCACCTGTAAAATTGAGATGACTCCTACCTTAAAAGAATATGGTGACGCCAAGGCTGTGTATCTGATATACAATACCTGATAAATATGTTAGTATCCTACCCTTCTTTCTTTGACTAAAATGTTTCGTAAAAATGTGACCCCAAATCTAATTTTCTGAGTACCCATTTGGTTAAAGCTCAATAGAGTTATTTTTGCAGTGTCTAAATCAGTTCCACTGTACACTTGAACCTATAGTTAAACTTTCACAGCACATTTAAATTATGTTGATCAAAAAAAAAAAAAGTTAAAAAAAAAAGAATATACTGGCTGGGGGTGGTGGCTCATACCTGTAATTCTAGCACTCTGGGAGGCTGAGGCAGGTGGATCAACTGAGCTCAGCAGTTTGAGTCCAGCCTGGGCGACAGTGAGACTCTGTCTCTAAAAGTAGTCAGGCATTGTGGCTGGCGTCTGTAGTCCCAGCTACCTGGGAGGCTAAAGCAAGAGGATCACTTGAGCCCAAGAGTTTGAGGTTGCTGTGAGCTATAACACCATGGCACTCTACTAAGGGCAACACAGTGAGACTCTGTCTCACAGAAAAAAAAAAAATACACTTACTGTGTTTTGAACTTTTGAATATAATTTAATTAATGATCTTTAAATTTTTTTGCTGCACACCTAAGATCCTCTCCTGGCACACCGGCTGAAAATCACTGGTCTAAATTATCTCAATTCACTACTGCACTGAGTATCAATCAAGAGCTCCACTATGGGCTTAAGAATAATTCATATTTTATTTATTATAGAATACGACCACAAGGTTACATAGTAAATTCACAGTAGTGATTTATTTTTTGTTAACAAATCCATAGAGTACAAACACTACTCAGAAATACTTACATTGTTTTACAATCTCAGGGTCTCTGCTGCAGGACTATTTAAATAAATACGCTAAGAATTTCTGTGCTTTTAGTAACCAATTATTTTTTTTAAAATAAAGCCCAATATTTAAGGTCTATCAAGAAATATATAGTAAGGCTTCCAGGGTAATTCAGTTTGAGCCATAATTCTCATAGAGCTTGACCTTTGTCTGTTTCTTGCTGTTTTGGGGTTCCAGGGTCCTGAAATGAGAAGGGGTCTGGGGGGGGTCCCTGCAGGACAGCAAGCTCTCAGAAGAGGCTGCAGTGCTAAAGGCATTTACTGAGGGCAGGGGTGGGGGCAAGTACAAATGAGGGGAAAAATAAAGTAGGAGAAAGAGGAGTGAGCGGGTTTAGATTAACTTCCCAAAGACAGGGGCTGTGAGGAAATCCCCAAGCATTAGGGCATCGTAGAAACACACACACCCCCATACACTCCGCCATATATAGTCATGCATATCTGCTGAGAAATACACCCATCTGCTACAGGTAGCCTGGATGTTAGGATGTAGAAACTTACATAGAAATAAATGCCCACCAAAAAAAAAAAAAAGGCACCCCCACATAGGGAGCCTTACAGAACAGGGCCCAAACTGAAGAATCAAGGATTCGATTTGTCAGTTTCACTGAGGGGCTGGAACCCTCACTCAGCCTGGTTGGAAGGGCAGGGTAATCAATTTCTGTCAGTCCAATACCCACTGGCATTCCCCATGGCTCAGCTGTTATGTAAATACATGGCCTGGGAAGGGAAGATGGGGCAGACAGGCAGACGGAGAGCTCACTGCTATCCCTACCCCACAGCAGACAGCCACCCCATTAAAAACGGAGCCCCAGATGCAGGCAGTGGACCACAATGGGATAAAGGCACCAGGGCTACCTCTCATCATTTACTGTGAAGAATCTGTCCTCTATGCAGATTTCAAAAGGGAAAGACAGAGAGGGGAAAAGGGAGATAATAGTTGTGCCAAAAATTGGTGGTCAAGCCTTTTCTCTGCAGATGACTTTATACACTTTAGCAAAAGCATTACACACTTTGATAATGCAAAAGAGGGATGAACTCTGTAGCCTTAAGGATGCAAATTTTTTAAACGTTCACTTTATGTACTATTAAAAATTGCCGTATCTTCAAAAATCCACACTGAAGAAGGGGTTATCTACTGGTTAAAAACAGCAGAAAAGAGACCAATCTCGGACACATACTCCTCATTAAGTTCTTCTCCTTAACATCTACTGTGCAAATTTTAATAACTTAGGTTGAAAATTATAGAAAATCTATAAACATTTGAGGCAAATGAAATCCTTTCTCCTAAAATATGAATTTATAGACTACTAGCCTTACGGCACAGTTTATCCCCCTTTAAAAAAAAATCGCCTGTTGTTCTAAGAACTGAAATAGGAATGCAACGTGTCCAATTAGGTGATGCAACCTTTTGGAAACCTTATATATTTTTTTAATGTCATTTACATCGTGCCCACTACACCAGTAGCTCAAGCTATTAAGAGGTTGATAGTGCAAAGGCTTTACAAATATCCTGCATTTTATTGTTTTTTTTTTTGCAAAAAGGACACAATACAAAGTCAATGTAAAAAAATCAATACTCAATTTAGAAGAGACAATGATTTCAGAAAAGTCTGACATTCTTCCGTACTATGACTGGGGGTAGAACAGATAATAAATTCCTTAATTTAAGCCTTTCTTCACCTTGCTGGGAACACACGTGCCAAAGCCAATGAATCCAACCCAGCCCCTCCTGGACAGGTCATTTAGGATACAGTTGGAAGCACGGTGTTTCAGAATGTGGATGAATATTATTAACTATATGCACATTTATTTATGGCACTTCCCCCTGCACCGGGTTGGTGACACAGCAGTCTGCGACACAGCCAATGTCTCACACACACTCACCATCCCTTACCCTAGCTCCCAAAATATTCCTGAGAAAGACATTCATAAGGAACTTACAGTCTGAAGGGACCTAAGGCAAAAACTAAGAACAAAAGCACCATGGTTACACGGTATGTGTTTATCATAAACGAAACCATGTAGTTAAATAGTACATCTTGGCTCCACGCCATAACCACGGGGTTTCCCCCCTTCTTTCTCCAACGTATCTGTTTGAGCTGAAGGCTGCCGATTCAAGAATGTGGTTTAACTTTTCAGGTACAGGTGTATGACAAATATCCAAAGCCAATCCTGATTTTCAAATAACACACGAATACTGTACCACTGGTGGAATACATACAACAGTAAGGGGACGCAACACGTAAGAAGAACATGTTGACAGCGTCATCCTCTACTGAAGCAAGGTAACTGATTACCCTAAATACTGGGAAAGGCAGGAGTGAATACTTTCAGAAGTTTTGTTGTAGATACCGGAAAGCAAATGGAGGCAAAGACAGCCCATGGCAAGGCGTCTAGATGTGGCTCCCCTGCCTGCACCCCAGGCAGCATCTGTTCCCCAGGACCAGGGCAGAGCCCACTGAACCAGCCGCATTTAGGAAAGAGATCACACATGAATCATTCTGGACAGAACTGGCTCCCGACTCTCCCACAGATTTGCATAGTGTCCATTTCCCTTCTCCAACTTTACCGACAAGTCAGATTAATTTTACAGGTCAGGAGCTAAACAAGCCCCTTTCCTGGCAGTAAGTGGCAGAGGTGATGAGCTGCACAGTGATGGTGGTCAGAGATACAGGGACTGGACAGCAGCAGCCACCAGCATGGTTGGCATTGCTTGGTCTCCCTCCCCAGTCTGTCTGCTATGAGCTGTGTGGGAACTTCCCTCCCTCAGGTAACTACATGGCTGCAAGCTGTACCCACCAGGCCCAGTCACAGTGTTGGTCCTCTCTTGGTTGGTGTGGAGCAGTGGGGAGAAGAACCGGGTGGGGTGGGGCTCCTTGCAGCCTAAGAGGGGCATCTGCTGCCTTGCTCCTGGGTCCCACGTGGGGGGCACTCTACATGTCACTATGGAAACAATCCGTGGGACTGACCTGCAACAAGGCAAAGAGCCTGAGGGCCCATGTGGACAGCCAGGTCTGAGTCAGCTCTGAAAGGTGACTGCCAGCCAGGTGGGGTTGGGATGGAGCGGAGCCTGTGTGGGCGGTCGCAGGGCTGGGAAGGGGCTACCTGCTTCAAGACAGTGGAGGGGCAGGGGCAGAAATGGGGCAGGTAGGTTTTCTCTTTAGGGAAAAAACAATCAGATCCCTCAATAGCTGTAAACTGACAGTGCACATTTTCTGCTGTGATCTTTCTCTGAAGAACCTAAGGCAACAAAGAACAAAGATGAACATTTCCTGAACTGCCCACGCCCTTCGTGTTCGTGGGGGACGCGGTACTGGACATTTACATACACAAGCACGTATGTGGACGTGTAGTGACTGGTTTCCTGAAACAGTAAAGAGGTGTCCCCTAGAAGTCCACAAGTGGAAGGACAAGAAGCAGTGGGGGACGTGGTCCTGGACGAAAGGCAGGAACCGAGTGTTGTAAGGCGGGGTTCCCAAGAATGCACCAGCTCTGCTTTGGTTTGCAGCTGTAACAGAAACTCCTGGGAACGGCTTCTGAGAAGTCCCATCTGTGAAGTCAGATGTCACTCCCTTTTCTCAGGGCAGACATCCCGTCCCCTGCTTCCTTCCAAATAAAGTGCAGATGGTCAAAGGACACTGGTCTGTCACCTGCCAGTTTCAGTCAGCAATGAAGAATAAAAAAGACACCCCTCTGGCATACACATATATATCTCTCTATATATATTCTTCGTTTCTTACTATAAACCCACAAATATAGAACTTTTAAACTGATGTCTCAGACTGTAAGCGAAGGACAAATTTGTGAGATTTGGGGTCGATGAACTCTTCAGAGAGTAAGATGAACGGAATTTTCTTCACATTGACCACGAGGCTGAAGTCCAAGCATTTAAGGACAAAAACAATCCCGTCCCGTAATCCATTGGTCACGGCCTCCTCGCTGACGAGCCTCCACTGCGTCGAGAGCCAGCGATCCCTGTCATACTGCAGAGTGGGGCCCGCGCTGAGGTAACGTTCCAGGAAGGCCTGAAAGGAGAGGAGAAAGGCCATCAGGGCAGGAAGGCCCCATTCCAAGCACAGTCCTATCCATTCGTACACCAGTTCCTAACTGGACCTCAGACAGAGCCCAGCTTATCACAAGGAATTCCCACTGGACCTTCATAGTCATGTGACCAAGACTTACTGGACTCCAGAGGGTGAAGGTGGTGGCAACCATGGAGGTGAAGGAATGAGGGATGGCCGCCAGCCATTGGTGTCTGCCTGGAAGTCATCGCTGTGCGTCACCGCCTCCAGGGGTACCGGCCCCATTAGTCACGCCCCTCTACCTCTTTCTCCTGACCTGAAAGTTTCTCAGAACTAGGATAAATGCCAGGCCCAGAGAACCACTCAGAGAATATGAGCTGAACAGAGGAATTTACCAGCACCAACAAAACCGTATGCTCTGCCACTTACTGGCTAAGTTATCTACCTTCTCTGTAAGCGGTCACCATGACTCGATTGAACTCAGAGGACGGCTGTGCAGGTGGAAGGGTTCCCTCTCAGAAAACACCTACAGAAGCCTTCACAGTGAGAGCCTGGTGATCCTTCTACCTGGGGCTGAGTGTGCACATGGCCACGCCCACCCCACCCAGCTCTGGGCCCCGAGGCACCTGGCTCCCAGCAGTCAGCCGTTCGTTCTGATAAACGTGGTCATTCAGCACATTCCTCCTCAAATCTTCCCAAACCACTTTCCCTGAGCCGCCCAGGGAGATTACCAGGCCCTCCTCCAAGCTCTCCAGGCTCCTATAATCATCAGTCTCACTGGACCTTTCACCTCCTGAATGGTGACTGCTGATCTGCTTGTCTGCTCCCCAACCCAGACTTCACTCTCCTGAGGGCAGGAATTTTACCTTTGAATTTCTAACAGTCCTGGTACATACTCAGAGTTCAAAAGCATGTGAATGTAGTCAAATAAAAACACTGACTTAGGTGAGAAAAGTAAGAAAGAGTGAGCCAATAAAACTGATGGAAATGCACTGGGATGTAGCCATCTGGTCCCAGACAGAGTCAAGGAAGGATTATTTTCTTTTTTGGATATGGAGTCTCATTCCATTGCCAGGTTAGCGTGTCATGGTGTCAGCCTCAAACTCCTAGGTTCAAGCAATCCTCCTGCCTCAGCCTCTCAGAGTGCTAGGATTGCAGGGTTGAGCCCCTGTACCTGGCCTCACGAACAGATTTTTAAGTGCTATCCCTTTCCCCTATACCTCATTGCTATGACCAGGTATATTATTTCTGATCTATGTGGCACAGACTGCAAGGCAGAAAATAGAGACCTGCCTAACTTTCATACTTCTAAAATAAAAATACCATTTATGAATCATAAAAGAAATACTAATGGGAAGTTAACATGAAAAAATTAGTCACATAAATAAAAAAAAATTAAAATATTTAAAAACATTTTCCTCCTTTTAGATGGGCAATGACTAAAAAAAAAAATGCTATCTAAAGCTGCCAAGTATATGGAGAAAGAAAAAGTCCCAGACACTGGAGGCAAAAAGTATAAAATGGTAACATCTAGGACAATTTGGCAGGATCTACAGCTTTTTAAAATTTAGTAAAGACTTTCCCTCCGTCACCCAGGCTAGAGTGCCACGGCATCAGCCTAGCTCATAGCAACCTCAAACTCCTGGGTTTAAGTGACCCTCCTGCCCCAGCCTCCCAAGTACCTGGAACTACAGGTGCCTGCCACAACGCCAAGCTAGTTTTTCTATTTTAGTAGCGACAGGGTCTCGCTCTTGCTCAGGTTGGTCTCAAACTTCAAATCCTAGCACCTCAGCCTCCCAGAGTGCTAGGATTATAGGCATGAGCCACAGTGCCTGGCCGAGGATCTACAACTTGGATGCAGTTGATCCTTTACTGGAAATTCATCCCTCAGAAAAACTTGCACGAATACTTACATTAAGAAATATTCACTATAATACTGTTTAGACTAGAGGCTGGCAAACGTGTCTATAAATGTAAATAAATTCAGCTTTTCGAGCCACATTATGTCACAACTACTCAACTCTGTTGGTGCCCAGTGAAAGTGGCCGTAGGTCGTCTTTAAATAAAGGGAGCAGCTATGCTCCAATAAAGTTCCATCAATAAAAATAGCCAGCCCTGGCTGTGACTACAGAGAATCCTTAATCCAAATGTGCATCCACAGGCAATCAGTTTGGTAGAGTAAGATGTAGCTATTTATGGGAATGAGGATAGCTTTAGGTAAATAAAAAAAAAAGTCGTGTTTCTCTAATATATTTGTACATCCACTATATACCATATATGTGTGTGTGTGTGTAGGTACATGTGTCTACACACACAGTAGAACCTCTGTAAGTTGACTACCCAGGAAATTGTAACAAACAGTTCAACATACAGAGGTGGTCAACATAAGGAACTAGGCCTATGGCACTGAAACGTCCATGGGGTATGTGTCCAGTAAACTTGGGGAGATGGTCAACTGTAAGGTTCTAGTGTGTGTATATGTGCGTGTGCATAGAAAGAGAGAGAGAAGATGATCCTACTTCTACTTTAAAAATAGAAGCACATACAACAAAAAGAATATATACCGAATCCTTATCGGGAAGAAATGTTCGAGGAGGATGAAACTTCATTTTCATTATATTCTTCTATAATGTTTGGATTTTTATACAAGTAACAGATATTTTTAGTTCAGAAAAGTACAAAATTTTTAAATGAAACAGAAAGCAACCGGGAAACTTCCAAGTGTTGAAAAAGGAAATCCACAGCTTCCATTCCACTCGGTACAGCCGTCCCTTTGCCAATGCACACATTATTTTCCTCACTTGCAACCAGAGTGTTCACACCTTTCGGCATTCTGCTCTTTGTAACTTAACATTTTTAACAAAGATTTTTCCATAACTCAAAAGGTGATGTACCATCATTCAGAACCACTATTACAGTTTTAAATTAGTTCCAGTTTGGCGTTATTACACCTTATTTTCCAAAAAAATATCTTGGTGTATATTCACGTATAAATCTGATTGTGCTGGACACTTCTAGGAGAGAGATTAGGGAGTCAAAGAATACAGAAGACTTTAGGGTTTCTTACTGAATATTTCTGAATGGCTCTCTGGAGGGTTGTTAGTGGCTGACAACCTAGCCAGCAGGACGCAGATATGATACAATGTATGCACAGGTCCTTATTTTAAACAGCAGCCACCAAATGTTACCTGCCTGCTGCACACCAAGTTCATTTACTCTCTACCACGTAATTTATAAGCCACATTGCCATGTTTAATGCAATTATTATTCAACAATCCTATCAGGTAGGTATCTCTATGATTCCCCATTTTACAGAAGAGGAAGCAAGCGTAGAGTGATTTATGCACAGTCACAAACCAGTCAAGTGGGGCCGGGACTGAAACCTACTTTTCTTTAGAGAAGTCACACACTACCCCTTACTCCAGTCTGCCTCCTTGGCCACACCCCTTTACTAAAAGTGTGCTAATCTAAAAGACCATTAAGTAAAACCAATTTCACAACATCCAAAACGTCTCATGGCATCATTTCTACCACTGATAACAATTACAGCTATTTAGTCAGCCTTATCACGTGACAGGTACTGTTTTATGCACTTCACATGAATTGAAACTTTCAGGTCCCTGAATGACCAAATGCTGTGTCTGTTAGTATTATCTCCCATTTCCAGGTTAGGAAACAGGCACGGAGCCATTAAGCTATGTGCACAGGGCCACACAGCCCACTGTGAGAGGAGCCTGGTTAGGAAGGGTCAGCTGGGCTCCAGAGCCCACACAGCACCCCTGACCTAGACGACTCTCTACTGTCTCTTAGTGAAATTCCCTCCTCTGCTGGATGCTAGAGACCTTTGAAAGACACATTTCATAGTAATAAGATACAACAAAATAAGTGGGAGTCACTGATTCTTATTACGTGGAGTTTTAGAGAACCAGCCTGTGATGTTACGACGTCCCGTAACCCCCTATTGCGTGTCAAGGCCCAGATGTGCACCTTGGGGGTCATGCTGTTGGCGATGCAGAAGGCCAGGTGCTGCAGGATGCTCTCCATGCTGTGGTAGTGCTGCTGGCGCGTGGTACGCAGGTACTTCTGCAGCGCCCTGGCCATGGACGGGAAGATGGCCTGGGCGGCCTCCCTGGGGTCCATCACCTCCCCCGGGGCCTTCTGCTGCTCCTCAGCCTGGAGACGCTGGATGTGGATGAAGGCCTCCTCCACTGCGACCACTAGCCTGGAAGGTGAGGCGACATAGGAATCAGGACAGTGCCAGCCCCAGCGCTTGAGAACAGGGCCACGTGGGCACTGGCAGGGACACCTCTCCACTCTGCTGCAGCCTGACCTACCGTCACCCCACCCCAGGCCCGATCATGCTGCTCACACCCTTAGCTGTCCCCCAGAGGGCTGAGAGAGGAGAGGAAGAAAGGAAGGCAAGGGCAAAAATGATATGTGGAATGAAGGCCGCAGGGGAGAGGACGAAGGAGCCCCAGGACTGGGGGATGAACTCTGTCCTCAATTCTGCTGATAATAACATTGGGAAACTCACTTTAATGCCTTTTCATCTCTACATTGAAAAGTTAGATGCAAAGGATTCAAAGGCCTCTCAAACTCTGGCTAAAAAAGGCTCTGCACAGAGACGTGGCTGGTGGTGCAGAGCAGCCTTGTAAAGAACCAGAACCACATCCTCTCAATCCAGCCGCCCACCAGCAACCCCCGGGAAAAGGAAGGGGCACAGCTCACAGGACAGAAACCAGTGCTGGCCCCTTCAGTGAGCATGACCAGACTGTGAAAAGCAGTAAGGCTCTGGGACACAAGGCAAGCAGCCGGCCTCAGCATCACCCGGGAATTTGTTAGAAATCCAAAATTCTTGGGCTCAACCCTAGACCTACTGAACTTGGCAGGTGGGGCTGGGAACTTGTGATCTGTGTTTGAATGAGCTGCCACAGCAATGCCGTCCACGCTAATGTTTGAGGAACACCAGAGCAAGGTACAATCCAAAGGCTCAAGAAGGTCAAGTTCATGAACAGAAACCTCATTCTAGCAGTACAAGGGGAAAGACGTCTACAAGAGGGTGCTGGTGCCAGGAGACTGCACACCTCGCTCTTCGCTTCTTCACTCGCCGCTCATGCTCGGCCTCTTCGTAATACAGCTCGTTGTGGCTTGAGTCTCTGCGGCGAGCAGCTGCAGCGATCATCGCCCGGGACTGACCTGTGGCATTGTTACTGGGGCCTTTGGGGAAAGGATGGAAAAGGAAGAACAGTTTTAATATTAAGGAGCTGGAAAACTCAGCAGAAACCAGCACCATGGTCTGTCAGTCTGTCCACCACCCCTGTCAAGTGCACACAAATCCTAAAGGCAACTTCCCAGGAGCTCAACAGCGCCCCTGCTGGGCTCCCACTGCGCCCAGGGCGCGAGAGCAGGGAAATCTCTCCCACGTCCACATCTGATCAGTGGAGATGGAAAAAGAACTCAGAAGGGGATGAAGAATGCTCGACAATTAAAATGTTGGCCTAAAACAATACACAGAGTGTGCTGAAGAGGTTACTTACCATCTGTTCAGTTTCAGTTTGGCCATAAGGGCAGCTGGGACATCAGATTTCAGCAACAAGACAATGAGAAAGAATGAGAGGGATGGGGAGAACATGGACAGACAGAGAAAAAAGAAAGTCAAGGGACATGAGACACTGATCACGTGCCAGAAAACAAGCCACGCTGGTACGCCATGGCAGCCACCACGTACGGAGAAGCCAGTGCTTGGGGACACACAGAGCAGCCCATTCACAAGCACAGGCTTGGAACTCCTGCCTTGTCCTCTGACCAGGGATCACCTCAATCATCACAAACATAAGGCAGATTTCAGGGTTTCTTGCACACGACCGACTTGGCTGGTGACTTGCTTTCACTAGCGGGAACCCTTACTTACTAGGTTAGCAGATCATAGGTAAAATCACCACTAAAACTTGATATTACATATAAATCACTGGACTTGTTGACAGCATGATCCTTTCCCAGGGTTTGTAAACTCTTAATTCACCCAAGGTACCCAGTAAGAAATGACACCATGTCCTGTTTCTCACACTTAACCATCAGATACCCAGCCTGGCCGCCAGCCTCCTGACACCCACTCCACTCCAGCTGCTGGCCAGGCTCAAGAAATGCCTGCAAGGATCTTACCGGATGCCTGAACTACTGACATTTCCAGTCTTAAGGAATTTAGGTCACTTTCTGAGTCTTTAGGTAATTTATCCAAATTTTGAAAAGCAGTTTTTCCTAATAGCTTTCAACATACGGTATTCCAAGCAGAAGGTAGGAAACACACACTGCTATTGTGTTCAATCATAAGATCCTCAAACGAATGAGCTTTCCATATATGTAAAAAAGAAAAGAAACTGTTCTGCAATGAGACCACACCATAGAGGTGAGCAGAGAGAGGAAGCAGAACCAAACATACCGTGAAGTTTAAACTAAACGGTCCCCGTGAACCTACTACACACACCGCGGACACCACACATGCCAGCCACCACACATGCCATACCCACCACACACACCATACCCAAAACACATGCCAACCACCACACACACCATTGACACCACACCTGCCATACCCATCACACACACCAGCCACCACACACACCACTGACACCACACACGCCATACCCACCACACACACCACTGACACCACACCTGCCATACCCATCACACACACCACTGACACCACACACGCCATACCCACCACACGCACCACTATTACCACACATGCCATACCCACCACACACACCACTGACACCACACACGCCATACCCACCACACACACCAGCCACCACACACGCCATACCCCCACCACACACACCAGCCACCACACATGCCATACCCACCACACACACCATACCCAAAACACATGCCACACACCACTGACACCACACACGCCATACCCACCACATACACCACTGATACCACACATGCCATACCCACCACACACACCACTGATGCCACACATGCCATACCCACCACACACACTGTACCCACCACACACTGTACCCACCACATACTCTGTACCCACCACCCATGGTAATTTATCCAAATTTTGAAAAGCAGTTCTTCCCGCAATGGAGAGAGCTGTCCATACGTGGTGGGTCAGAAACCCACCACATATGCTGCAGACACCACACACGTCATACCCACCACACACACCAGCCACACACGCCATACCCACCACACACACCAGCCACACACGCCATACCCACCACACACACTGTACCCACGACACACGCCGCAGACACCACACACACTGTACCCACCATACACGCCGCAGACACCACACATGCCCTACTCACCACACACACCATTCTCTACACACACTGTATCCACCATGCACACCACACCCACCAGTTCGAGGCACTTACCATCTACATTGTAGACTTTTAGCCCAGCCATGTGCTTGGCTGCTCGGAATTTGGAGGCTGTTAGGAGATTTGGGTTATAAATGGTGAAATCTTTGTAGTAATTTTCCAGAACCACCAATGCTGCTCGCTGAATACTAAGAAAAAAAAAGAACAAAATTAATGCAAAACATTTGCACTGAGTAAGCAGTTCCTAAGTGAAAATCTTTTGGAGTCAAGTGAAGTAAGAAACAGCAAAGGCAGCCTCACGCGCGAGAGTCCTGGGTTCCACCACCCCTCCTATCTCCAGGATGAGAAGCTGAAGATGGAAGAAGACCAGGGCCACGTGGTTTCTGTGCTCTCTTCCAGGCTGTGGGCTCTGTCATTAGCCACTTCTTATCCAGAACAAGTGATAATTCATAACTCGTATCTAGGTTTGGCTATACAGAACGGTTTCTGGTTTTCCTCAGTTTAGAAAAGAAGCCGGGACCCCAAAAAGGGCAAGAGATTCACTGATGGTCACAGAGCTAATGAGTAAAACAACAAAGGGCAGATTCACGCTTCTCAGGTCCCAGCTGAGGGCTCTGTCCCTGTGCCTCACTGACCCTGCTGTAAGGATCCTGGGGTTTAGGCTTCGTATACACCAGAATGCCTGCGTCTGTACAGGAAATCCATACGCCCTCCACTTAACAGAAGGCTAAGAACATTTGACCTTCCTTGGTTCATGAGGCCTCCAGCCCTTTGACTGTTTCTGGCTCTCAGCAGAAGGGCACAAAGGGGACTCTACCTGTCCTCGTGCCCTAAGTCTCCAAGCTACCACCTGCTTGGACCTCAGAGGGCAGCAGGGGAGCAGAGAAGAGGCAATGTCACCAAGCAGGAGAGAGGACCTGGGGGCACCCACACACACTCTTGCTCAGATGCAGGATGCTCTCCACTTCAAAGAGCAGCCTGCAATGATACACAGGGGTTTTTACACACCTCGTCTGTTTGACCCGCACACTCGTGCCAGGTGAGAAAACTGGGGTTCAAACACCTATGACCTGCGTGACGGCATGCCTTTAACCAACAGGAAAGCTGAAGCTTCCAGGAAGGTCCCAAACGCCCAGCTTAGCCTCTCTCCCCATCACGTGAGACCTCTACGTAACAATATTACATCTCGACATCTGCAGCCTTCCATGTTGCTCACCAATCACCAGCGTGCTGAATTCCACAAACACATCTTACCCTGCCCTTTAGATTTTCCTTCCTTTTATCCTGCTACGGAGATGGGCTGACAAGGATTATTTATAACAGTCAGAGTGCCAGGACCCGACCATGCTGTGTCCCAGTGCTCTGAGTGGCCCGGGGATCTGCACTTCACACTGGGACAATGCAGCCTCTGCCCTCTCAGCTGGACATGCTGTCAGTCCACCTCCTTAGGTCCCCATGGAGCTCTGCTTCAAAAGTTTTTAACCGAGTCTGATCTGGAAGTTGGCTAAGCTCTGTAAGAGCAAAACCATGGCCAAGCCTTCTCAGTTACTGTGCCAACAGTGCTGGGTTGTGATGTGAGTTCAGTTGGTTCTTAACATCACCCTGGATATGCAGAGTCATGTGAGGCTGGGGACACTGTCAGGGGAAATTTGGTGAAACCAACCTCGCACAATGGAATTGTAATACTCCCAAGAGCAAATGCACATCCCCAAAGTCCCTATCATTCTCATATTTACTTGCCTGTATCTGCCAAGCACTGGGGCTTCTCTGCAGCTGGATGTATGGAACAGTGAGCTCTCACCCTGGAGTACGTGGGGGTCAAGTTAGCACAGAGGAGGGTCCCTAACTGCCCAGGACAGGGTAGAGTGTAAAAGTAGCTTTCCTAAGGAGCTGGCCCTTGAGTTGGGGTTTGTGTGTCATTATAGATCTTTGCACAGAAAGAAGTCTACTCCCCTGGCGCCAGAGGCCCTGTGTGGTGATCTCCAGTTCGGTGTGGCCCCAGCCTCCTCTCTGTCCTGCTGTCTCTGGCATTCCCCACAGAGGGACACGCATCCCTTCATCTCCTACCCACCAGAGATCTGCCATGCCCTGTACCTGATAAGATACATACAGACACTCCCTTGTTTACCTGGTCCCTGTGCTTTTGTGAGACAAGGGGCCCCCGGCACAGAAACAAGTTTATCTGAATAGACACACTGGGGTCCAAACCCAGTTCATCTCACACTCACATACGGACACAGAAACATCTCTACGCTCCTGGATTCCCTTAGGAAATCATTTGGTTTTTTCCAGGCCAGTCTTCAAAGCACAAAACTCCCCCGAGGTCACTGGGTTTTGCTTTTCTGTTCAGCCAGGCCACAAGGAGCAGCCTAGGGAATCCACTAATTCAGTGGGGGCCTGTAAGGGGATGACTGGGCCAGAGCTTTATGGCTGCATTTGTCAAACCTCTGCTCTGTGACCACAAACGGCATGCTGCCTGTAGCTGCTGGCTGTGGCCAGCCACCTTCTAGCATAGGGCCTCCTGGACGCTCCCACACAGACCAGTCACAGCTCATGTGAATGTCGCTCAGAGAAGAGCCCGGGGTCTCCTGTGACATCCCTGGGGCAGGCTGAGTACTGTGGGATGGGGCATGGCTTTCCCAATCCTCTAAGGATCAAGAACTTTGCTCAGAAAAACCAAACAGGGGGACAGTGCTGGCACACTTTTCTTCCCCCACCAGAGGCACCAGGTGACTCAGAACCAGCTGCGGCCTGGCTGGCCACCCAGGCTGACAAGCCTGTGCCAGAGCTGAAGGACTCTTAGGACGAAGTTTACAGCTGTCTCCAGGAGTTGTGCATGCCCTCACCCACAGCAAATGGTCCGCCGGACACTCAGCGGGTCCAGCAACGTTAGGGAATGAGAATTTCCACCTAACTAAAAACGGGGTGTAACTGAAGTGCCCAACTTAACATGGTTCTGATCTTTGGGAATAAAATCCCACATGCCTCTCTTTGTAAAGAGAGTAAGCTCTTACATGATATGTGATTTCAGCTTTAACGGTGAGGCAGCCATGAGCTGGGCCACGTGAACTACAATGCAGGGAAGCGTCGGGTCTGATCAGGAGACAGGCCAGCTGAGAGGCCATGCTGCAGCAAGCCTGAATACTTAAGGCTGTCTTGTTTACATTTTTCTACATTCCCCCTTGTGACAGGCTACCAATCACTCCCAATCACTGCCCTAGGTCTCAGCCTCCAGGGCCAGGGCCCAGGGAGCAGCCATTCCCTCCGCCAGCACCAGGGCTCAGCATTGTTCCTGCATCGTCCACACATGGGAACGTATAGGGTGAAAGCAGCTGACCCCTTTCAGGAAGCCCTTCCTAACTCTCCAGTCCCTGTGCTCTGTCCCTAAGCATGCAGCATCAACAGCCACCACGTACGACTTGTGATGTCTTTAGGGGAGCCACGACTGGCCAACCCTAGTCTCGTCCTTTCAAAATTTGCCTATGTTAGGTCCCTCACACACGGGACACATCCTTTGATTTCTCCATAGGATAGAATATTTGTTGGCTTCACTTATCCATTCATGAAACTTAGCATTCTTATAGGTCTAGGGTCACTCTTGAGTACATATTTCATAAACCATGAAACTTTAGAGGCAAAAAGGGCCTCAGAGATGAGCAAAAATGAACCTTTCAACTGATCCCCATCTTTAGACTAGATAACCTCTGGGAAAGGGGAGACGCAAGAAAAATCGAGTTGGCGAAGAAGCTGCCCGCTCTCTTATCACCATTATACTCAGTGGGAAAAGGCGGAGACTGGGAGAACCAGCCCTGTACAGGAGCCCTGCGTCACAGCCAGGTACAGCCTGAAGGACAGTTGGGGACACAGTCCCACCAAAACCCCGTGGGAAGGAGCATTCTCCCAAGAAGAGAACTCTGTGCTCAATGCCACACGACAACACAGCCCCCTATGTCATTATCCAGGGTAATACCTTTTACAGATCACATGGATCTGTGGAAAAAGCACGTGGGGATACATCTAGTTAAGAGAGACATTCACTTGAGACCTATGTGTAAAAATACCAACACAGGAATACCAGACATACAAACGAAAAGAGAACATGGACAATGGAATATTCAGAATGCGTAGAGGCCGATGTTGTTACCAATGGGAGAGAAATCTCCACTGAGCTTGGGTCTAGGCTGACCCACATCTGAACTCCTGGTTAGGACAGGGCAGCAGTGGGTCAGCACAAATGACTGACGGGATGTGACAACCACGTTTTAACTCAAAACTCACTGCTGACCACGCTGCCTCACTGAGCAGAATGTGAAATGCCAAGGTCTTTGGTGGCCAATCAACCACAAAAGCACCTTTGGTGTTGCTGACCCTGTCAAATGACTGCCCTGGCAGTGGAGAAGTGGGGCTCACCCTCAGCTACATTTGTTAAACAGACCTGAGAGAAGCACCTTGAAACACAATCCAAATGTCAGTTCATAAAAGTCTGAAAGACAGGCCGAGTGCAGTGGTTCACACCTGTAACCCTCAAACTCTGGGGGGGCCAAGGCAGGTGGACTGCTTAAGCTCAGGAGTTCAAGACCAGTCTGAGCAAGAGAAAGACCATGTTTCTATTAAAAAACAAATAAACAAAGAAAAAAATAAAAACCAGCCAGGAGTGGTGGCAGCACCTGTAGTCCCATCTACTTGGGAGGCTGAGGCAAGAGGACTGCTTGACCCCAAGAATTTGAGGTTGTTGTTGATGATGTCACAGCATTCAACTGAGAAAAACAAAGTGTAACTCTGTCCTCCCCCCCCAAAAAAATCTGAACGGCATATTCCTGAAAGATAAGTTCTAATAAACAATAAAAAGCACAAACCAAATTAATGTCCCTACATACCTGCCACTACTTCCACCACGCCTTGGGCATGTCTGAGTCCGTGACCTTGACCTTGGGATGAAGTATGCACAGCCTAGAAGGTGCAGCCTCTGGCCTCAGACAATATGCCTTTCGGCTTTCACCTTGAACAACTATTTCCTTCCCCAATCCTCAGACTCTTCATCTGGAGGATGGGGATAATAACCCAGAAAACCTACTGTAAAATAGTCAGTGGGTTCCAAGGGACCCAGTGACATCAAATGTATTACCAAAAGGCTAATGAAGTGAGGAGGGCAGGCCTGGTGCAGGCAGCTAGAAGAAGTCTAGTTACA